GGTGGGGAGAAAGCTGCGGGCCATGTGACTTAGCTTCCTGCTCTCCTGTTTGTAGGTGGTGTCTTGCAGTCACTGCTTTCCCGACAGGTGAGCTTTGTAATAATCCCATATGTGAGCATGTGGTCCTTTAGTAGTAATTATATCTTAACCGAAAATCTCTTAATCAACAGATAATGATATTTGATTTGTTATAATATGTCTGTAAGGAGTTGTCTATACTAGACATACTGGTTGCAGGGAAATGTAATCTGTCCTGGAAAACTAGGATAACAGTTCAATTAACTTACAAGTAGTATGCGTTCCCTTAGGTTATTATTTTGTTACAGACAACAAACCTTTTTACCCACGTTGTGAGTTCTCCATGCATAATGTATCCGGGAACACTGCCTTTTGTCTGAGTATGTGCTTGGTATATTATGTTAAGTATAATGCTTAACCAGCAGGACGGCTGATCATTAGAAGTACAGTCCATAACAGTTACAGTATCACATATTAGGAATCATTGATATAATTTGTTAATGTGTCCAATTGCATTCTCACAAATCATTGTTAAAGGAACATTATGACCTCTATTATTATAAATACATATATTTACTTGTAAAGTTGGAGTCTTTGGAGACTTAGCATAATTTGTAAAGACCACTGACCGTGACAACAATGCTGCACGTCACTCCTCCCAGCTAACACACAGACCACGCGGGAGGAAGCAGAGGGCGTCAGAGTGGGAACTCTGACTCCCATCCACCTGAGCCACCACTGAACCCCAGGGAAAGTCACCCTTCTGTACCTAAAAGGTAGGAAACAGGAGGGTGACTTAATTATGTGTTTGTGTCTGTATGTATGCCTGTCTGTGTGTGTGTCTGTCTCTTTGTATGTATGGGTCTGTCTGTGTGCCTGTCTGTGTATGTATGGGTCTGTGTGCCTGTTTGTATGTGTGTGTGTTTCGCACCGGGGCCCCATGGATTGTGTGTACGCCACTGTATGGACTGGTTTGGGAACCCCTGCTTTAGATGTCTAGGCAAAAACTCATTTTTCTACACACTGCTTTACATTTTCCTCCATATAAAGAAAATTGGAAGGCTGAACTAGGGGATACACTTAATGATGAAGACTTAATTCTTCATGAAAACAATCATACATTAACAACTTATGTGACCAAGAAGGAGAATACCTTAAAAAGTCTGTCCAAATAGTTTACGTATCCTGATAGGCTGCACTAATTATTACTTCTAGCCTACATGTGTTTCAGAAAGAGGTCAGGATATAATGCATGCACATGAATAATTACTGTTCTTGTGTTGTTGTTTTTTTTCTCTTCTCTAATTAATTTATATTCTACTTTATTTGGATGCTATTGCTATTGTTTGATGTATCCATTTATTCTACAATAAACTTCAATTAAAATCCAAACTTTAGTTGCAAAAAATATATATATATTTTACTGCTTTATAGGTTATTGAAAGGCCGTGAATGAGTTGGGAACAAGAGTCGAGACCATGGAGTTTGGTAAGTAATCATGTTTGTCTTTTGATTTTTCTTTGGAAAAATGTATTGTCTGCCTTCATATTCTAGAGATAAGATGTACCATACTTAAAGGGTTACTTGAAGCATAATGATCTCCTTCTTAATTTGACATGGCCATGGTGCCTGCAGTCTGTATGTGCTGTGTTTCACTATAGAACACTGCGCATATGGAGTTATACCCTTCAGCTGCTGGAGGTGTAACTCCACCTCTGGCAGTGCCAGGGGGCATCATTAGCCAACCTGGAGTATTCATTAGCTGAGAGCAGTCAGCTGACACTCTCTGCCAATGAGTGGTGACTGTTTAGGGTCCTGGCACCTGCATATCTTGAGAAGCCAGAAGCACATCACCAGTGCTGAATGGAGACCAGGACCCTGGCGGGGTCATGACGGCAGTTGATGCTTGGAGTAACCCTTTAACCCCTTAAGGACCAAACTTCTGGAATAAAAGGGAATCCTGACATGTCACACATGTCATGTGTCCTTAAGGGTTTAAAGGAACACTATATAGCGTTATAAATACAAATATGTATTCCAACCACTATATTTCCCTAGTCACCATTTAGGTAACTGGCCCTCTTTGCAGAGCTTAAAAACAGGTATTATTATTATTATTATTGCCATTTATATAGCGCCAACAGATTCCGTAGCGCTTTACAATATTATGAGAGGGGATTTAACTATAAATAGGACAATTACAAATAAACTTACAGGAACAATAGGTTGAAGAGGACCCTGCTCAATCGAGCTTACATTCTATAGGAGGTAGCTTACTTACCGTATCTCTCTCAGCACTGGTCTCGTTGTGAAGCTCTGACTCTTTTTTTTTTTAAATTTGAGTTTATTGTTTTTTTTGACACAAAGGACAGTAGGGAGTGGGTACAGAAGGAAAAAAAGGGTAGGGTAAGGGGTTCAGGGTTACAGTACAGAGAATCTGATACATCACAATGACATTCACATTTCATGTTAATCACCGTCTAACTAGGTGCGCAGTTATTTGGGCGTAAAGTAGTTGCTGCTCATCCTAAGTCAAAACTGGCACTACCTATACCCCACTGTTCACCCTCCAAGTGTATCTCGTCGATGAGGCCATGTAGCTATCAGCTTCTTGCGTGCGCTGAGGGCGATGCTCTAGTTATTTCTAGCCTATTTGTTATGCGATCTGCTTGTATGTCGCATACCTTAACCTTGTAGGGCGTTTGGGGGGGGGATCAAGGAGGCTCAAGGTTTGGCCCTCTTGCTTTTAAGGTCTTACTGTCCCTCCACTGGACGGGGCTCCCTGCCTACGCTGTTAATGCCTCCTATGTATCCCTGAGAAGTGTGGAATTCTGTGAGGTATTGCACAAGTGACCAGGTAATGCTCTGCCTGAACCTTCCTAAACAAAAAGTGAAACCGAAAAAAAAAAAATAAGGTAGAATATAGTGTACCAAAAAACAGTTTAACAGTTTAACATGAGGGAGACACAATCTGATTGCTATCCAGCATCTAGGTGGAGGCCGAGGGGGGGGGATCTAAGGCGTTCCTTGCGCTAAAGTCCCTGTTTTTTTTTTTTTTTTTATAAATATAATACCGTTAGTAACAGGTGTGTGTATGATCCGGGTCTCAGGCCGGATGATGGTTTTATGGAGGCTGAAATTGATAGTGGCGACACCAAGGTTCCCAGGTTTTAGATATTTTATGTTTTTATGTTTCTGGTTAGGAGTTATCGCAGAAGAGATATCATACACATAATTTAGTCGGATTTTGTCCATGAGGTTCTTTTCAGACGGGCAAATGGTTGATTTCCAATTGAGCGCTATGAGAGCCCTAGCCGCCAGTATCACCTGTGCGGCCAGTCCCCTCTCCTGCTTCGTCCAGCTGGCGGGAAGGTCCAACCAAAGGCAGGACCCAAACTCCAGCGGGAGAATAATATCTACGTTGCTAAGCAATCTTGCGACCACCAACCACAATGGTTGAATAAGGTCACATCCCCACCATATGTGGAGCATCGTGCCTCTTTGGGCTCGGCACCTCCAACATCGGTCAGAGGTGTTTGGATAGATTTTGCTGAGCCTGTCTGGTGTCAGATACCATCGGTACATTAGCTTTCTGTGAGCTTCTATGTGTGAGTAGCACGCAGTATGACCAGTCAGTGCATTAACCAGTGCTAGCCATTTGTGGGGAAGGAGAGTTGTTCCGCTTTCTTTTTCCCATTGGGACATAAAAGACAGGGATGGTGAGAGTGGGAAGTTCGATACTGCTTTGTAGCACTTTGAGAGCAATTTAGGCCTAAGGGGACATTTCCAACATGACATAAGCAGGTCGCATTGCTGATTTGGTTCTCCAGCCTTGCCCTCTAAGGTCCTATCGACATGCTCCAATAATGCACTTTTAATTTTGGAGGTAAGGGAATATGTATCTAGGGGCTAGACTGTACTTCTGTTGGAGGTCAGCAAAAGGAGTGATTCCCGTACCAGAGAGTAGCTGGGAGACACTAGTGATGCCCGCTTTCGCCCATGTGGATAGTGGGAGCCATGGTAACACTGTGGACATGGCGGTCAGTGGAGCCAGTCTATGGAATCTGGAAGTCTTAGTTTGAAGTGCCTTGTACTTATCCCATATGTGTATGGTCAGTTTCGTTGTTGAGAAGAGTGTACGGGCTTTCCCCCGTTTAGCTGGTGGGGACCACATATACTCTAGGAGGGTTTCCTTAGGCCATTGTTTGCGTTCCATGTCGACCCAAAGTAGTCGTCCCTTGTCTACGTGAAGATTTACTGCTTGGGATAGTATGGCCGCCAGGTGATACATGGCCACCTGGGGTACCCCCATCCCTCCCATCTGGAATGGTCTATACAATGTGGAACTCGCTACTCTCGCACGTTTGTTTCCCCATATAAAGTTATTAATAATGGACTGGGCTTTCTTGCAAAAGCTTTGTGGGATAGGTACAGGTAGCATACGAAATAAGTACAGTAGTTTAGGTAGGGCCATCATTTTCACCGCGTTGATTCTCCCTGCCCATGAGATCATCACGTCTTTCCATGAATTCAGCTCTTTACGGATTATTTCTAAGAGAGGGACATGGTTTAGTTTGTATATAGTATGTATCGATTTGGCAACTCGCACTCCCAAATAGGTTACCGACTCCGTCCTCCAATCGAAATCGAAGGTCTTTTTTAATTCTTCAGCATTCTGCAAGGGGAGATTAATAGGCAGGGCTTGAGTCTTAGCCGTATTAAGTTTGTAATACGAGATAGAGCCAAAGGTTTGTAGGATGGGCATGAGGTTTGGGAGTGATATCTTTGGCCTCGTCAGTGTCAGCAGAATGTCATCAGCGAATAATGAGAGTTTGTATTGGTGTTCGCCGACAGTGACTCCGTGAATGTTTGGGTCCTGCCGAATGATCTGGGCTAAGGGTTCTAGACATAGTATAAAAAGCAGGGGGGACAAAGGACAACCCTGTCTCGTTCCGTTCGAAATTGGAAAGGGTGTGGAAACGAATCCTGCGTTGGTGACACTAGCTTCTGGAGAGGAATATAAGGCCATAATTGCTGTTATGAATGCTGAAGGAAAGCCAAATTTATTTAGTGCCGATTTCATGTATAGCCAATTGAGCCTATCAAAGGCTTTTTCCGCATCTAATGCGAGCAACAGTCCTCCCAGTTTGTTAGTGTTGAGACCCTCCAGGACATTAAGAAGAAGCCTAGAATTGTCTGAGCCCTGTCTGCCTTTGACAAAGCCAGATTGGTTATAGTGGATTAGAGTGGGGAGTAAATGTTTGATTCTAGTCGCCAGAATTTTTGCATATAGTTTGGTATCAATATTCAATAGGGATATCGGGCGGAAATTAGCGCATGCTGTGGGTTTTTTACCTGGTTTGGGTAGAGTGACTATGTGAGCTCGTAGCATTTCCCCAGGTAATTTACCTTGTGTGAAACCTTGGTTAAACAAAGAAATTAAGTGTGGTGTAAGAGCAGTTTGGAAGGTTTTATAGTATATGGAGGAGAGTCCATCTGGTCCTGGCGATTTAGAATTGGGTAAATCTTTAATCATTTGTGTAACTTCCTCAACGGAAATTGGTTTGAGGAGGTCAGATATCTTATCATTGGGCAGCAAGGGTAGCTGGACCATCCCTAGAAATTCGTCTATCTGTTCTTGTGTGGGTTGGGGTGTCAGGTTATCATCTTTAAGATTATCGAGTGTGTGGTAAAACTGAGCAAATTCCTGAACTATTTTATCAGGGTTTACGATTTTCTGACCCTGGGGGTTGTGAATGTAAGCTATTTTAGTTGCGAGGCTACGTTTTTTAAGCCTGGAGGCAAGTACTTTCCCTGCCCTGTTTCCTTGCTCATAGAATTTGGCTTTGAGACGCCTTAGGAAGAAGTTCGTTTTAGCCACTTCCAGTTCTTGTAATTGCGCACGTACTTCTGTAATCTCCCTAAGGTGCGTCTTTGAGGGTGTTTGTTTATTACATGTGTTTAATGTTGTGAGGCGGCTGGTGAGGTTTATGTATTTAGCTATACGCGCCGCTTTGGCCCTGCTCGCGTGCTTAATTAATACACCCCTAATGTATGCCTTATGGGCTAACCACATAACTTCTGTGGGTGTGTTTGGTTGAGAATTAGTCGAAAAATAGACCTCCAGTTCCCTATGTAGGTCTTCTAATATTTTGGGGTCGTTGAGCAAGCTTTCGTTAAGCCGCCAAGTTCCTCTCCCTTTAGCAGGGAATTGTTCATTCAAGTGGAGAATGATCGGCGCATGGTCCGACCACGTTATAAGGCCTATAGTTGTGTTGACCACGCTGCTAATCAAGGAGGTAGGTATCAGGAAGCGGTCTATTCGGGAGTACGAGTTATGTGCCACTGAGTGAAATGTGAAATCCTTTTCTTGCGGATGTGTCACCCTCCATGGGTCTATAAAATTCTGCTCTAAGAGAAGTTGGTTAATGTGCCCGGCGGTTGTTTTCCTGCCTGTTTCAGTAGATGCTTTCACTGTGTGCGAAGAAGACGTGTCTAGTTGAGTATCTAGAATGAAATTCGTGTCCCCACCTATCACTACCTCCCCCAGTCTGCCTTCCTCCATGGCATTAAAAATATTGAGGAGAAATGCGGCTTGTGCTGTATGAGGGCCATAGACGTTAATTAATGTGTATGGGGCATTATTCAGCAAACATTGTATAATTAAGTATCTTCCCTGTTTGTCTGTACGTTTTTTTACTAGTTCAAACGCCACATCCTTCCCAATAAGGATCGACACTCCCCGCCTCTTTTTAGAGAAACAGGAGTGAAAGTCCAAAGGATAGAGAGGTGAGTTAAATTTAGGTCTTTTACCCCATTGGAAGTGCGTTTCTTGGAAGAATGCAATTTGAGCTTTAGCCCTTTTCGCTTCCAATAGTGCCAGTCTCCGTTTATTCGGGGAGTTGAGCCCTTTAGTGTTCAAAGATATAAATGTCAACACCATTTTACATACAACCTACTATGCTGTCCAGGATTGTTAGATTGTATTCTAGTCTCCATTAAGTCAGTCCTCCTGTCGGTTACCCCCTCCCCGGGGCTCTGGGTACAGGTCTCCCTATATATCCGCATTATGAATCCCTCGAACAAGACAAAGAAAAAAACATGAAAGTATATGAACTTAAGATCAAAAGAATAGAAGAAACTTATATACAGTTGCCTGAGAACCGTGTGCCGAGCACACGGTAGGCAATTAGTATTGGTGATGTATACTGCATACGTCGTAGTGGCCTGGCTCGGGCCACTGGGGGGTGGAACGGTGGATAGTACCATCTATCAAATATACTATGTCACAGGGGACTGTCCTTATCCTCATGGTTAACCTTAGACCGAGACAAAGATGCCAATTTAATAAGTCAAATTAGGGAAAGGACAGGCATTATGTATCACGGTGTTGCACCCTTCGTAGTACGGCCCACAGATCTGTTTGCATGAGTACATGTATACTATTAACGTCTGGGAATATGCTGAAACTGCCCAATTTGTAATCATATATATATATATATATATTTTTTTTTTTATTTATTTTTTTTTGCTTCTTTTTATTTATTTATTTATTTATTTTTTATTTTTTTTGTTATTATTTGGGCGCTAACTCCTTCACCTGTTATATTTATAACAACCAGTATCTAAATCACCTTCCCTCTCAGTCCAAGGAGAAAGAAGGAAATAGTGACAGTAAGAAAAAAAGTTTATGGCATGCTGTTCACTTAGCTGCGTCAATTCTGTGCCAGTCTCCAGCCAGTTTGGTTGGGCGTGCAGGGGTGTTCTTTTCCGCCGACTCTGGCTGCGGCAATGAGATGCTCCACTGTGCTAGCCCGTTCCTCCCGTCTTCCGGGTTAAGAAACACCTTCTCCACTCCATTTCTTCGTGCGATTAGGCGCGTCGGAAAGCCCCATTTGTACGGTATGGACGCCTCTCTCAGAGCTTTGGTGATGGGGCCAAAAGCTCTTCTTTTAGCCATAGTCGCTGGTGATAGGTCGGTGTATAGCTGTATCTCCTTGAAGCGTTCTCCCAGATTCCGCGCATCCCGCGCCGCCATCATCAGCCTCTCTTTTACTGTATAAAAGTGCACCCTGACAATGGTATCCCTAGGTACTGCCGCTGGCAGGCCTCTGGGTTTCAGCAGCCTGTGTACTCTATCTATCTGTAGCTCCTGCTCCGACGCCTCAGGTAGCAGTGCCTGAAAAAGTTGGGTGACATAACCTCTTAAGTCCGGTTGTGTAACCTCCTCAGAGATGCCGCGTAGGCGGATGTTGTTTCTACGGGCTCTATCTTCTAGGTCTACCACTTTTGTCTCCAGTTGTTGTATTTGAGATTTGAACGTGGTATAGGTCTCAGCCAGGGTGTTATGTGCCTCTATGACCTCCTCCATCTTGTCTTCTAGATGGGCCGTGCGGTCCCCAATTGCCTGTAGATCTCTCTTAATGTCAGCCGCTAACTTTTGAAAATCAGCTCTCATAGTGTGTTTGAGGTCATACAGCAGGGTTCTAATGTCTCCATCAGCGTGGGGGAGGTGTTGGAGGCGAGATACTGAGGTTACATCACTTGCCTCTGATTCTGTTGCTGGTGAATGCACCCCGTCGGCGCCATCTTGGATCAGTCTGCTCGACGGTGAGAGGGCCGAGATCTGCAGATCCGCGGCTTTTTGCCGCTGCTTTCTGGCTGATTTGCTCGTCATCGTAATTCACCGGTAGTTGGCAGCTGAGGCGGCCGTTTTTCCCGGTCCAATGCTGTGGATACACGCTGTTAAGGTACCCAGTCCGACGGAGCTAGTCCTTCACACGTCCAGCTCCGTCCGTGTCGTAGCCACGCCCCCTGAAGCTCTGACTCTTTGACTAAGATCATTGATGATCTCGGCTAACCCAGTGCTTTCCCATAAGAAGGCTTGTGTGCATGTGCGACTAAATGCTGCACCAATTAGATGGTCTCTCTGAGGCCATCTGATATAAATGGTGAAGTTTTACTCCACTACTTCAGGGATGTGATTGTATTGGCTGTCCGTATGGAAGCCACTAAGGGCAGGTTAGTCCTTCAATGAAAACATTGCTGTTCCTGCAGATCAGCAATGTTTTCAGCTGCAGAGTTATTCTTGGGGGGCACATGGCACGCAGACCACTTTATTGAGATGAAGTGGTTTGAGTGCCCATAGTGTTCCTGTAAGATAATATATAAATAAATAATAATAAAAAAATATATATACACACAATGCTCTCACTACTGCAGGGGATTCTGGGTAGGTGTATACAAATTAGGTCAACAAAGAACCACATTTTTGCCTCATAATTCCACTTTATACATGGATTCCTTGGAGTATGTGTCTGCTGTATACAACAGCTGTGAAACACAATTCAGGAAGAGGAGCAAAGCCAGTGAACCACTCATGGACAGCTGTTTCGTTGTTAATGCAACTCATTAGCATGAGGTTGGTTACTGGCTTGCTATGGAGGCTTGGCATTACTTGTAAAGTACATACCAAAAGAGTTGTGGTGGGGAAAAAAAAGTGTGGATGAAAACCCCTTCCCCACCACAACTCTTTTTATGGAATATCTTGAATAAAGGAATTTTATTTATCTACAAAGACCGTGAGTGCAAGCCGTTATTTTCTATTTTTATATCGAGACTATGGCTATATATGCACCTGGCATTTAATTTGTGATTAGTCTGAGTGCAAGGACTTGCGAAGATAGAGATAGATATATATATATATATATATAGATTTAGCACTGCTTCTTCATTTTATGACATGTCTATTTTATAGAGGACAGATTTGAGGTATTTGTAAAGTAGTATTAAAATTATTTTTTCTAAACGTTTAAAATTTTACCCAATATTTCTGTTTATATCTATCAAAAAAGATATGTCACACAAATCATCAACAAAGAGATTGCTTTGCAGCACTTAGGACTTTCAATAAAGGTTTCATAACTTTTTTTTTTATTTAAGGGAGGGGCAACATTTTTAAGTAGTTTTAAAAGTAGTGTGAAAATGTCACATTTTTCTTTGTATATTTTAGCAGATTTTTGTGCCTCCAAAATCTTGTGACTAAGGATACTCTGCCTTGCTTTCTAAGCAACAATAAGTGGTGTGCGAGAACTCCAGAAAATATTAATTAACAGAATGAGCTACAGAAAAAATAACACAAAAGTAATAATTGATCATTCACACCAGAAAAATATCCTAGAAATGGCTCATATTACTTTGAAACATGTTGCTAAATTTCCCGCACAGTTCCATTTTGGGCCTCACTCACTGATGACTGTACCAATTTATTAATCTATGTACAGTACTCAGATTAAGTTTACAATTTATAAGAGATGTTGCATAAAAAAATCCATCAATTAGCACATATAAGGTGACATAAATAGGAAAATGTAATCTTCGTTCATAACTGGTTATTTACAATTTATTACAGTTTGATTTATTTTATTTACCTTGATCCTTTTTATCATGCTCCTTAGCAAAAAATAAATTTTTATAGGGTTTAGCATCATGTTAGTTATTCAAAACATATCCCTCTTTAAACAAAGCTCCTGTCATATTGCGTAAAAATAACAATGGCATGTTATTAGCTTGAAGAAAAACAATAACAGTTTATTTCAGGCACAGCGATGTTGTTGAAATATTTCTTTGTAGTTTATTTATTTTTCTTTTCATACAGGAAGCTGGAATATATGTGAACAGACGGTGGTGCTGCAGGGAGCCTTCCTACTAGCAGAAAAACTTATCACTCCAAAAACGTTGTTGGAAGCAAAGAAATCTGACTGGCTCCTCATTGAAAAGCCGGTTACCAGTGCTTTAAAGGAAATAAGCTCAGGCAATGGTTCGTACAGCCACGAATGGAGGAAAAGAGCCATTGCTATGCTTTGGGCCAAAATTCTTTCTTGCAGGCCTGGGTTGACTGTAAATTCAGACACTGACATTGAGAGGAAATGGAAAGAGGATGTTTTTTTTCCAGTGGAAAACCTAATCCCGAAAATAAATCACACAGTCTTCTTTGAACTTCTTAAAACAACCAAATCAGCAAACATATTTGCAGAGTTGCTCATAGCACTTCCTACAGATTTGTGGGTTGAAGAAGTGTCGATAATTGTGGAGCTTATTTGCGATGAGACCTCTTTGGAGGATGTCACTTTCTTTTTGGATTTGTGGTGGGAAATCATGAAAAGCAGCAATAATCAACTGGATGAGACATCTATGTTATTTTCTTCTATTGCTTCTAGTTATCTTTTACAGATGTCCAATGAATCTGGCCCAAGCTCAAAGCGATTTAAGCATGATCCAGAGCAGACACTCACTCCTGCTGAGAAAATTCTTACAGTCTTTCTAGAAGGTCTTCATAAAATTAGGCAGCACATAGAGAATAGCAAGCTGAAATGCTACACCGTTGCAAACTTGGCAGAAATGTTATGTTCCTCTGCTTTCCTAGAGAAGGAGTTTGAATCTCTTCCCGTAAGGCTGTATTTGGAAAAACTTGCTGCTATCGTTCATTTTCATAGCACAGGAGCCAAAGATCACAGCCTCTTGGAAGTGATTCGAGAAGGAGAGAGGATCATACAAAGTGGAAGTGCTGCTTCAAAGTTTAGATTACTACGAGGTGCTCAACATTTTGGCCTCAATATTCTTAAAGATCTACTTCATCAATGGGGAGATGAGTTACAAAATTATATAAACGATGGCAAAGAGATTAGCTATGAAGTCTATAGAATGGCAGAGAGTATTTCATCTTTACACAAAATCTTAATTGTATCAGAGAATACAGATACATTTCCAGAGGAACAGAGAGTCAGTGCTTTAGAACTGGCAGAATGTATTTCAAGACTTCTAGAGAAACCCTCAAATATTATTTTGAGTTCTAATTTGAACGATAGTGAGATTATTGCGTCAATTGCTATGAAAATAATTGATGATAAAGCGGCACGTTACAAAGAAGTCTGCTCCGTTTTTGCTTCAGAGACCACTTGGGCTTTTTCTCGTGCTTGGATAAATTGTCTTACAAAGAACAAAGCCCATTTTAAGGAGACTGACTTAATATTTATATTGCTACAGACTGTAGTAAATGCTGTTTCTACACAAAGCAATGTTAAAATCAAAGAAGTACGTCAAGTTTCAGAGGTAATTTTAAGCCTCTTTTTGGAAATTTCTTTAGCAGAGAAAGATATTTTGCTAATGAGAGTTTTATCTTCATGGGGCAATAAAGGACTTTTGCATGCTATGGAGGCATTCACCGATAATTTCCAGGAAGAGCTTAACATAACTTTTAATCAAATTTCTCAAAGCGTGACTGACTTCAGTGTTAGTAAAGCAGTTTCTCGGGTAGCCAAACTGGCGTTGTTGAACCCCGAAGCAGTTGTAAACAAAGCATGCCACTTTGCAGTGGTCAACGATGGAGCTCATATATTTTTAGGCAAAATTTTGACTTCTCTCCCTGCCTTACGGTTTAAGGATTTAAATAATGCAGAAAACTCTAGCTCTTTATTAACTCAGTGCTTAATGGATACATGTTGGGGGAAACTTTCATCTGTAAAGGAGGAGAACCAATTCCTATCTCTACTGACCTATCTCATGGAGCCCTCTGAGTCCTCCGATAATACTACTGCCATCAGTCTTCTTCAGCCAGAAGAAGTTATCAAGACTTTTGTTCTTCCATATATTTTAGAGGAATGTGTTCATGTTGAGCTGTGCTTACACATTCTTCATAAAGCTCTATGTGCAAAACCTCTACAGACATTTGGCAAACACTGGGTTTTGTCTTGTTCTCCATTTCCACTTCTTTTGTCTCTTTGTAAACTTCTTAACATCTATACAAAGTACTGGCAGCCATCTGATAAACCATATTGCCTTACCCTGGGCTCCAAAGAATTAATTGTTGACATAATTAAACTACTATGTAGTGCAATCATGCCAGAAGCTGAACATGCCCTGGAAACATGGAACAAGTCTCTATTTTGGCTACACAGAAAAATGGAGCATTTGGATTGGGTAGTGTGCATCAGACTGCATCCTATTTATGGAGAGCATTTCAAAAAAGAAGTTCCTGCTTCGTTATTTGAGCTCTGCAACCTATCAGAGAACGAGTGGACAGCACTTGACCTTCCAGAGTATGGTCTTGGTACAGGACTTTTAGCATGGTTGGAATGTTGTTGTATCTCAGTTGAGATGAAAGACCAAATGCTCTCCCTTCTGTCAGTCAATACAGAAAACCCAGAAGAAGTCAACCTGTTTAGTAAAGGGTTCCTTGTAGCAATGATCCAGGTCCTACCATGGTGTTGTTCAACGGAATGTAGTCTTCTGATCCAAGTGGTGTGTGACCTTCTGCACAGGCAAATTCTCCATGTACCTTACACTCTGGAATATGTGCAACATATGCCTCTTCTGAACCTGCGGCCTTTTGCATTCAACCTTCAGTTTTCCATTCTCCTACTTCGAGGATTCCAGCTTCTCTGTAGCTCTAGCTGTTCCGAATGGCTTTCTCATGAAGGACACAAGCATATTGCACGACTTTACAGTTCGTGTATAGCTTATATACTAGATACAGTCAAGCAGACCTTGTCGGGGTGTAACCTCCAACTGCAGCAAGAAGGCAAAGAAGCAGATTACGTACAGGAAGTCTTATTCATTTACACTCAGGTATTCTGCCATGTGCTTCATATAATTGCCATGATGCCTGACAACACATGTGAACCTCTTTACATTCTGTCACTTGAAATTCTCTCATTGTATGAAACCCTGAGATCAACAGACACTTCTACAAACTGCTTGCTCAGAAGAGCCAACGAGAGACATTTTTTGAAGTCTATTACAGAGAATGTGAGTAATGACCAACATCGCATTACTTTAATGCAGAAAATCGGCAAACTCTAGCGGGCGATATCTGCATTCCCAGGTCCTCATGCACTGGTATTGTGGAATATGTTATTCCTCATTAACTCTTTCAGAGTCAGGTTATGCAGTTACTGGTCATCATTTGGTTTAGGATGCTACCAAAAAACAGCCATCATAGCTAATACATTTTTCTAAAGAATTCTGCTTATGTGTATTTCCAGCTGATGTAGAGATATGCAATCTTGAGACGTATGTAGTGTGACTTTTACTTCTATATCACAGTTATGTAATAGTTACACTACTGGGATCTGCTGCATGCTGGTTCCAGGTCTTGGTACTTCCACAAACACTTGATTATACAAAGATTGCACAATAAATTCTTTAAAAATAAAAAAACCCTGTATTCATTTGTTTTAATAATAAAATTAGCTTGGTACCATCAGTGTAATCCTGACATTATGAACCTACTGACAGGAAAACTGCTTTAACTCAACATCTTAGTTGGCCCGTCCTTTATATTTCATTGGCATTGAGGTACAAATACACAATTCACTGCTTCACACTAGCCACTGCGCAAAGCTGCTTAAAAGTATGGTGGGAGAATGCATTGACATTCATGGCAGCAGTCTGATAGGAAGAGACACAAGCAATCTTTAGATACGCATATCTTTTAATGGTAACTACTACCATAATTTGCATACTTGTCTCATTTAAACTTTTTGATGGTCGGTCCATTGTATTGATTTATCTGTAGAATAGAGTGGTTTTGTAAGAGTATTGAACTGGAGAATTTGTGAAAGTTCTAGATATGTACAAGTTTCCTATTAGATGGCAAAACACAGCTTATGCATATTCTTTCCACTCCAAGAGTAATAGAACATTATACCATTTAGTGATAGTTGTAGTGTGTTCATGTCTAACCTAGATGTTAAATCTTCATGCTTGTAAGCTTCTTTTACTCTTACATGGCTTAAAGCATAGACAAACACAAGTTTCCACAGTAACAACAATGGCCCAAAAACGCAGATGGTTATTATTTAAGCTAGTCTAAAGTCTAGTTTTGTCTCTTTAATTTAAAACAGAATAAGTATACTGTGTTAATGTTAAAAAATAATTGTTTTTGCACTTTCATAGTCCAAGATTCCAATGTCTAGATTAATAAAGTTGTGTCTAAAAGTGTACGTGAATAGTGTGATGCCAGAAAAAAAAACGGTCATGTGCAACCTGTTTGTTTATTTTTTTAAATTTCTTCAAATGGGATCAAGATAAGTAAATCATCCAAACCAGTCAGACAAGCTCCCACATGGAGATATGGGAAATAATACAAACATATCATGAGTAGCTGATTCATTACTTGCTACAAACATCAGTCTATCCGGAGTAATGGGAATTGGAAAAACATTGATATCCCCATTTTGATTCACTTATTTGCTATACTCCAAGCACCAACTTCAGTGTTTTGGAATCTGTATCTGCAGCGTTTTGCTTTGAAATGCTGCACATGCAAAGCTTAACCCCTTCCCTGGTGGATGTATAACTCCGGCAGTGTCAAACAAAATTCTGGACTGTCAATTCTGTGCAAAATTTGGCATCTGACACCAACACGCACAGCATGCTAATGTCAGCCAATGGTGGCACACCTTCCTCCTTAACATCCATCCCCTGGCAAGCCTTTATATTTTAATTTTGTCCATTGGGATAGGGTGCAATCAAGCACAAAAGAGGTTACTCCAACCAAAATTAGTGGAGTAACCTTTTTAAGGATAAGCTCTCAAAAAATAATGCTCCCCCCCCCCCCAGATTAGAGGCAGTGCAACACCCTTCTCTTGCAGCAAAATAGGCAGGCCCCTCCTCATCCTCCACTTCTTTGCTTTAAAAGACTCCAAATGCCCTTGTTGTCCGCCTGTCTTTGGCAGGATAGATAGGACTCACTTTTTTTATTTTCCAGATGTGGTGCTGCGGCTGGAGAGGGGTTAGTTCAGAGTGTGGGCCGGGTTCTTTTATCTTTGAGCGTTGAAAGGCATGCTAGGTGCCTGCTTTTCACTCTCTGACATCCGGCCAGTCCGTGTTGGAAGTGGCGTGTGTGTGCATGGCTGGGAGGCTATTTAGGTGGAACGCATGTACTGGTGGCGATGTGTTCCACCAAGAGATTGCAGTGCTTTGGCGCCAAATTCAAACAGGAAGGTCTTGGAGACTTTTTATACCCAGCCACAACTACATAGTTCAACTCTGTTGTAGGTATGCTCTCACCAGCCCTCCAGCATACCCTGAAGCCTAACAAGGTAAGACTTTTTGCTTTTACTTTTCAATTATTCCTCTTGTCCCCAGTTTAGTTTAGTCAGGTATTTTTCTTTAATTTCATTTCTTGTATGTCTAATACTGAAACCTCTGAGAAACCTGTCGGGAAAGCATGTAATAAGCATGTAGGAATATATATAAAAATACCCATTTCTGTCTAATTAGAGATATATTTGCCAGAAGCTCAAGGGAGCAAGGTGAATGGTTGGTTAGAGTTAAGACCCACCTAAGAGGTCTGCCTTGACGTGGCAGGTGGGCATACCCTCTCACGGCCATTGGAGGTAACGAAAAACCTAAATTTGTTTAAAAACACATAAGGATTTGGAACAAGCGCGGGAAAGGAAAATGTCTATCCAGGCACCTTACCTGTGCATACTGTAGTCATCCTATGCCTGATCTGTAGTATTTTGTTCTTAAGAGGTAGCGGAAGAATCTAAGAAAGCTGAGGTTTCCTCTTTTCTGTCTTGGTTCCTGTCCAGCCTTCAACAAACTTTTGGGAAGCGGCAATTCAAGTCATCTGTAACCCCTGTATGGAACTTAAGACTCTCTTTCAGAAAAATAAGAAGCGTGAACATGAAGAATCTTTCACTTAAGAATCTTTAGACTTAATTTCAGATTTTTCTAAAGATTCTGATATTTTCTCTGATGAGGATTTAGCATTTCCTGATGAATTCTAACATAAGCTCATTAAAGGGACACTATATTCACCAGAACAACTACATCATAATGTAGTTGTTGTGATGTGTATAGTATTTCCCTGCAGGCTTTCTAATTTTCAGAGAAAAGGCAGAATTTACATTACTGCTTAGTGAGCACAGAACAGGGGAGGGAGTGGGGAAGATTAATACGTGAGGAAGATTGGTGAGAGATCTTTTCCCTGATTGTAGAAATCTGAGTGAAGTGAGTTGTGATTTTGTAGCGGTCAAATTAGTTGGAGGAGGAGCAGCAACAGGGCGAAGAAGAGTTACTTGTGAAAGAGGCTTTTGGATTCACGGGAGAGCATGGCTAGGAGGGTATCAAAGCGAACTAGATCATCAAAGAACAGATTCGAGGGCGGAGCCTGACTACCAAGATGGCCAGATGTGTTTCTTCACACCCGTGTTTAATTTGAGCTGTAAATGCGCTGGAATCAGCCTGAACACACAGTGGACCAACATTATACCCAATGGGCAATCAAAGAAGTATCCTTGAAATTGATCCGACACATCTATGGCCCCACAACTCCTTCTCCTCGGCCGGTGGAGGTTATCCTAGTCCCCGCTGAGGAAACTCTCTGCCCTGCAGCAAAGGCCGACACAGAGGTCCTGCGGTGAGCCCAAAGTGGGCACTGCGCCGCAACTCCCACAGCCCAGAGAGGGCCCAGAGCTTAAAAGAGTGCTCTGAATAGTGATTTGATTTAGTCTGCCAAAAATTCTGGTGGCACATCTCCCACCAACCTCACACCTACACTGTGCCTACTCGGCAACAACGAGGGGGGTGCAGCATATCACCAACCTTGCACCAGGCTGGGGAACCAACTGGAGATACTGCCACATACCCATCCGAATATCTAGATGATCCTCTGAAACCAGGAGAACCAGTGGGTCGGCGGCCATGCCGAACGGAGGAGGAGGGTCCTTGGAAGTACAGCACCAGTTCCCTTTATGGTCTGGGAAAAGGTGGTGAAAAATCCATGTACAGCTACCCTGGCACAGATTGCGAGCATGCAGCCTGACTTTTCTTGCAGAACTGAGTGGGGGAGAAAAATAACCAACTGTAACTGGTGGGCTACCTGTGGTGTTTGGAGTTCCTGCCTGTATACCACTGTTATCTAGTTATTAGAGCAGGGATTCCTGTTTTCTTCTTTATTCTGTCCTGTTGTGCCTCGTACCCAGTGGTATTATAATTATTCCTCACTGACCTAGCAGGTGTTTATAGTACTATTACTCTTTTGACTACCAAAATGTCAGTTAAAATTTCTTGATTTAGCATTTTTACCCTATAGTACTTTCTCAGTTGTCTCCATGTCTGGACAATCTGCTTGTCAACAAGCTTCTATTCCGATTTATACCCAGACATGACTATCTAACTTGTTATTACTATTTTAAAAATGTGCAATTTCGGCAATTGTTATATCCGCATTATATTTTGTCTGTTACTGTGCTTGCCTACCTATGCTGTTGTGGCAAGATCAGCTTCTTTGTTTCTACAGGGAAATAACAAAAATAAATTTAAATAAAAGAACAGATTCTGAAAGAGGAAGAGAAGAGGAAACAATAGGAGAAAGTAAGTTTGACAGAGCCACTTAAATAACACAGGCTAATAAAAATGCCTCTGGGTTAACTTGTCTAAATAATAAAGTTTAATATCCCAATGATCTTTTTTCAGCTTCTGTATGTACCTGTATGGAAAAAAATTCTGTTGTGTTGTCTGGACGACTTGACTCCTACAGATTTCAGGCTCAACCCTGAGTTGTGAGTTTATAGTGCACAATACATCTGGTCAGTGATGATATATCCATGTCTGATTCTGAACACCGTTATAACAATAAAACATAATATTTAAAAATATAAACTGGATATAAGCATCATTTCAAACTCCATAATGTGCAATATGGATTGGTTTGTAGCCTGGGAGGATAAACCAGACTTTCTTTAAATGATTCAGCTCCCAAAAGACAGATTACTAAATTTAAAACCAAAAACAGCTTATTACAGATGACCGTAAAATCTGAAATAGTGACTCCGTGATCTAATGTTACAAAAAGATAAACTAATGTGTTAAAAAGCAACAAACACACAAGGTTGTCTTTTTAAAAATACATACATTTATTTTAAATCTCAAAAAACAAAGCTGTGGGGCATTAGTGTAACGGATTGTTTCAAGTTATATGTAATGTTTACATACAAAATTTTAACAAAACTGAAATGTACTACGTTTTTGCAATTATAAAAGGTTTTAATCCTTTAATCAATGTTTTGTAATCAGTTCTTGTAGAATTAATAAAGTACCATTATGAGAGAGAAACAGTTTTTCTTTTTCATTTTGCTTCCTTATAGGCATAGCACACATTTTGTTATGTATTTAGTTGCATTTTACCAATAATGCACACATGAATATAACAACTTATTAGTTATGCAAGTGGACATGGCATATTTAGTTTTAGGAATTAACACGTTCCCTCCCACCCCTGACTGCAGATTGGCGAGTATTTATTTTCCATTGCTAAGAAATGCAATACTCTGTTTAGCCCGTAAATGCTTTCTTGCCTACCCTGTTCTCGAGCGTTTTGATTTCTCTGCCAGTGCTCCTCTCGGGACTGTAAGTAGCTCTTCACACACTTTATTCTATAGTTCTAATTCACATTTACAGACAATTATTACTGGAAAGAAGACTTCCTACAACCCTCAAATGTGGGGGAAAAATGCCATTGGGTTCCTTTGCCAATAACCCATACCCAACATATTTTTCTTTGTGACACAAACTGTATTTATGTTTGTATTTCAATTATTTCAGACTGAAATATATATATATATTTTTAATTCTTTATTTTTGGTGTGCACAAAAGTAACATTAAGACTTGGTGTGCCACAACAGCGACATCAGGGTACATTAATAAACATTTGCATTACAGGTTGTGGTAATCGATTATCAGGCACATTTTTAGTTAAAGATAACAAAATTGCAACAGTTTAGGTTCTTGATTAGCGTAAACAATGGATTTTTCAATGCAATTTAAAATTTAAACATGTTTAGCTCAGTGATGCTTCATTGGTAAAATTAAGGTAAACATACATACCTGCGTGTGTACACTAGTCGTGCAGATTGTGAAGCAGGCTTATCAACAATTCAAGAACAAAATACATATGCCTAGTCGTAGTAGGGAGTATATGTCTATCTATGTGGACTCGCCAGACATGTGAATGCTAGATAAAACATCTATAAAAGCATGCATGTGCAAGCTGTGTGGTGTGAGTTAGCTTCCATGGTGAAATATAGCATGTATGCGGTAGAGGGATGTGTTGCATGATAGTGTTGTAGTTTGTTTCGGATTAACAATCCGATATGAGTGAGTAGCGTGATGTGAGAGGTGCTATATCTCTGTGTGTGGTATGTAGTCGCATGAAGGTATGTTTGCTGGGAAAGCACTATTTTGGGGCTAATGATGAGACTCGTTGCTGCTCTGAGGTTAAGTGGGAAAGCAGGGTACAAGTCCACAGCGAAAAAGGGCAGTGGCACTGCTTGGTGGGTACAGTTCTGCATGGCCTCCGTCTTCCCCAGCAGCCATCACCTGCCAGTCTGCGGGTCCGCGTTCCACTCAGCCGATTCCTTGGGATGGCAGGTTCTCTAAGCAGGCTTGGGAGATGCTGGGGTTGTCGGTGGGGAATGCCACAGGGAGACAGATTTTGCGTTGTGGAGGTGAGGTGGGGCGCAGGTAGTCCATACAGCCTGGTAGACTCAGGTGGGTGGTAGTGTGTTGGAGCTCCGGTGTGGTGCTGTGGGCCAACGCGTGTGGTTGGGGTCGGATGATTTTACCCTGCGTCCCCGTGTGGGGCCCTGCTGCTTTCCACCCCAGGTGTTATGGCCTTGGTAACGAGGGCAGTGATAGGTAAGGTCCCTGGCTAAGTCCATGAATCGGGACAAGTCCCTTAGGGGAGTGGTGCTTGTGAGTAGTGCTGTAATGCATGACTCCTCGGCCCGGGTGAGTTGGGAACCTGGAGTCGGTCTTTGCCCGATCGTTGTACCATGCAGCGGCGGTATCCTTCTCATATTTTCCTCTTTCTCCTTGCATAATAATTCTGTCCATATCCCTTCGCCCTTTACTTGTGTCCCTCTGCCCTCTGGATTTCCTCTCCCTATATTCCCCTCTATCTCTTTACATAGTCCATCTGCCCATATTTCCTCATCTCACACTTGCTTCCCCACACTTGTGTCCCTCTGTAAATGCTGCGTGATGTGTTCAGGTACCGAGGATCGTTCGCGTGCCGAGATAGTTTTTAATGCAAAATTTTAATTCGACTTCCGAATTGTTTGAGAACAGGAACGTTCGAGTTCTGAGGTTCCACTGTATATTTAAAAGCAGTGTGCAAAAACTGCAGATCTCATTTGTGCTGCCTTTCAAGCCCTCCTCTTCTAACCCTGCCCATACATTATGTGACAGTTCAATCACAGACTTCCCAATGCAGCTTAATGATAAGGCTTTGCATGGCCGGTGCTTGGACAAATGCTTCTGCATTAGGTCAGTGCAAATAAGCTAACCAAACCAGGCAGTAATGATGTCTGGTTGCTTGAAAGCCAATGGGTGTAACCAGGTTAACTTATAAATGTGTCAATTTCTAGTGAAATCTCCCCGCCCAGCGCTGGAAAAAGTTAAGTTTTTACCCCTTTCCTCTCCCCAGAGCCGGGCAGGAGGGGGACCCTGAGGGTGGGGGCACCCTCAGGGCACTATAGTGCCAGGAAAACGAGTATGTTTTCCTGGCACTATAGTGGTCCTTTAATTGTATGCAGCCTATTTACAGCTGTTTTATTTTAATGGGCCTTGTACTTCTGTGTCCATACACTCTTTGTTGTGTTTTCCTTTTCCAGTGCCATTTTTCTTTATCAGAATGGCATGATTATAAAAGGAGGTAGTTTTATCTTGTAATATTTAGTATGCCTACCTATTGCTCTGGTGTTCATCTGAATAACTCTTGCTATGTAATGTACATTTACCTCTATAAATCAATGATTGTCAATAAAATGAATCTTATTATGTGTTGTACCATACACACAGTGTCATTAACCCCTTAAGGACACATGACATGTCATCATTCCCTTTTATTCCAGAAGTTTGGTCCTTAAGGGGTTAAACACAACAACTTTGGCCTTGGGACTTACACAGTGCCTTAATATGTGCAATCAACAATATGTTGTTCATCTTGGAATAATATGAAAACTATTATTACGCTATATTAGAACATCTACTAATGACAAAATAGAAATAAATAGAAGAGAACTGTTAACATTTAATAGTCAATAAAGTAAGTGATTTGTGGTAAAATAAATAATGCATTAACATCAACACAACTAGACACTGTTCAGTCAGTTGCTAGAGCATGTATACACACAAAAGTGCCTGTTTTTTTTTTTTTTAAATAAGAACAATTGTTTTATATAAAACACTTTGCACACACAGGATCTGCACTAACACTACTTCTATTCTTTACTTGATGCAACACCCTAATGCTAGTAAGACACATTCCAATGAGACCATTAAATAAGAGTGTTGCAAAATATTCAAGAAGTTTCTGTATGTGCCAAGGAATTGCCAGGTGTGTAAATTCTGTGTTGGCTTGTACATGTCATGTAATGTGATGCAGCAATAAAAAAGACATTTATCAAGTCTCTACACAATACACTTAAATGGGCACTATAGTCACCAGAACCACTACAGCTTAATATGATGGTCCTTATGTATATAGCCTGTTCCTGCAGCTTGAGCAATGGAAACGCTGCCAATACTTCCTATCCCAGTGCTGAATGCTACCCATAGAGATGTATCTCTGAAGAGATGCTGATTGGCGCCTTTTGTCGCACATACGCAATAGCCTCCCAATACTTTGTATTGGTAGTGTTCCAGCTGTCTGACGAACAGGCCCTGGAGGGTTGTTTTATAGTGGCAGTGATTTTTTAAGTTATGAGTTACTTTTCCTCATAAGAGTCACTAAAATGGTTTACACATACATTCTATACCCATGATTTAAAGGATTTCTTCATTGTCAGTGTGTGTGTGTATATATATATATATATACACACATACATACAGTATCTCACAATAGTGAGTATATCCCTCACATTTTTGTAAATATTTTATTATATATCTTTTCATGTGACAACACTGAAGAAGACTGAGTGACTCTGCTATAATGTAAAGTAATAAGTGCACAGCCTGTATAACTGTGTAAATTTACTGTCCCCTCAAAATAACTCAACACACAGCCATTAATGTCTAGACCATGGCAACAATAGTGAGTACACCCCTAAGTGGAAATGTCCAAATTGGGCCCAATTAGCCATTTTCCCTCCTCGGTATCATGTGACTCGTTAATGTTACAAGGTCTCAGGTGTGAATGGGAAGCAGGTGTGTTAAATTTGGTGTTATCACTCACACTTGCTCATACTGGTCACTGGAAGTTCAACATGGCACCTCATGGCAAAGAGCTCTCTGAGAATCTGAAAAAAGAATTGTTGCTGTACATAAACATGGCCTAGGTCAGGCTTCCCCAAACTCTGGCCCTCCAGATGTTGCTGAACTACAACTCCCATGATTCTCAACCTATTTCATTAATAGAATCATGGGCATTGTAGTTCAGCAACATCTGAAGGGCCAGAATTTGGGGAAGCCTGGCATAGGCTATAAGAAGATTGCCAAGACCATGAAACTGAGCTGCAGCACAGTGGGCAACACCATACAGCAGTTTCACAGGACAGGTTCCATTCAGAACAAGCTATGCGACGGTCGACCCAAAAAGTTGAGTGCATGTGCTCAGCATCATATCCAGAGGTTCTCTTTGGGAAATAGACGTATGAGTGCTGCCAGCATTGCTGCAAAGGTTGAAGGGGTGGGGGGACAGCCTGTCAGTGCTCAGACCGTATGCGGCACACTGCATCAAATTGGTCTGCATGGCTGTCGTCACAGAAGGAAGCCTCTTCTAAAGATGATGCACAAGAACGCCCACAAACAGTTTGCTGAAGATAAGCAGACTAAGTGCATGGATTACTGGAACCATGTCCTGTGGTCCGATGAAACCAAGATAAACTTATTTGGTTCAGATGGTGTAAAGCGTGTGTGGTGGCAACCAGGTGAGGAGTACAAAGAAAAGTGTGTCTTGCCAACAGTCAAGCATGGTGGTGGTAGTGTCATGGTCTGGGCCTGTATGAGTGCTGCTGCCACAGGGGAGCTACAGTTCAATGAAGGAACCATGAATACCAACATGTACTGTGACATACTGAAGCAGAGCATGATCGCCTCCTTTCGGATGTCGTCATGGAGAAGTGGAAGAGGACGTCAGTGACAACCTGTGAAGCTCTGGTGAACTCCATGCCCATGGCAGTGCTGGAAAATAATGGTGGCCACACAAAATATTGACACTTTGGGCCCAAATTGGACATTTCCACTTAGAGGTGTACTCACTTTTGTTGCTAACGGTTTAGACATTAATGGCGGTGTATTGTTATTTTGAGGGGACAGCAAATTTACACTGTTATACAGGCTGTACACTTACTAGTTTACATTGTAGCAGAGTGTAATTTTTTCAGTGTTGTCACATGAAAAGATACAATCAAATATTTAGAAAAATGTGAGGGGTTTACTCAATTTTGTGAGATAATGTATATATTTATATATTAGTGGTATCCTTGGCACTCTCCCGGCATGTAAATCAAATAAAACGCCAAGGTGCAAACCCGCGAAAGTATATAAAAAAATCTTTTTAATTGGATGCACTCCTGGTCTTAAAAAAACAAAAACAAAAAGTGGTTTAAGAGTGCAAAAAAGTTACATTAATGTGGATAATAAACGTTTCAACCCTACGGGTCTTTTTGTGTGATCTTGAAAAAGGCCCATAAGGGTTGAAACGTTGATTGTCCACACTGATGTAACTTTTTTTGCACATTAAAACCACTTACTCTTTTTAAGACAAGGAGTGCACCCATTTTTAAAATTTATATATAACGTGTGTGTGTTCTCACCTACATATTTACCAGAGTGCTCCAACCTCCTCCTTCCGTCTGTTTGAGTGCATGTCCCACAATTCTGTGGTTTTGGCTGATAGAGCATTCTGGTAAATGTGGTGCGACAATATTTGGCAATGTAAGGATAACACCCCACTCTAGTATTTTCCAAAGTTAGATTTGCTCCCATACGTGTACAGTTATTACCCCTTTAGAGTAGATCAGTAGGTATGTATAAATATGTATCTGGACATGGTAAGGGAGCTAAATAATATGCTGTCCAATATTAGGAGCTAAAATTATATTATACAGGATGATAAGAATGTCACAGAAGATTGCATAATGAAGTATTTCTTAGAAGCGCTCATATGCACTGATAACATAGTTCAGGGTTAACAAGGTATCACTGTTCAGCTACCATAGGGATAGCAAGTTTGAGAATAACCCATTTAGTTTGAGAATCGTGATAGTTGTAGTTTAAAGGGACACTATAGTCACCAGAACAACTAGAGCTTATTGCATTTGTTCTGGTGAGAAGAATCATTACCTTCAGGCTTTTTGCTGTAAACACTGTCTTTTCATTACATTATAGCCTGATAACTTCACTGGCCACTCCTCAGATAGCTGTTAGAGATCCTTCCTGGGTCATGGCTGCCTAAAATGCATCCAAACATTCAGTATCTCCTCCCTCTGCATGCAGACACTGAACTTTCCTCATTGAGATTCATTGATTGAATTCATCTCGATGAGGAGATGCTGATTGGCCAGGGCTGATCTGCCTCTTTGTCAGTCTCAGACAATCCTATGGGGAAGCATTGTGATTGGATCAGGCTACAACTTCTGCTGATGTCAGCAGGTAGTGGGCAGGTCTAAATGAAACAGAGCCAGAGCTAGCAGCTCCAGACTTGAATACAAGTAAGATGTTTCTATTTTTAGGGATGCATGAGGGGACCATGGGGGCTAGATGGTGGCTTTAACCCTATAGGGTCAGGAATACATGTTTGTGTTCCTGACCCTATAGTGCTCCTTTAAGAAACAACTGCAGTGACTTGTACTTGTGAGAACATGCCTATTACTACAGCAAGACAGAACAACTTCTATAGCTCTAGGCTGCTTGACTTCACACTGATACTGCGAATGGATCTTCGTAAACAGCTACTAGTATCACCTCCTTTCTTTGTTGTTATTTACAGCCAGTCGTTTGCTACGTGCCATGAGGCACCTCAGGAATAAAAATCTTAACCACAAAGGTACATAAAGATTTCAAGCAGTTTTTCTGTGTTTTAATACACTAGAATGGGTAATGCATGGTCTTACAAATTATAATAATCATGTAATGTATGGACTTACGACTTACAAAGTATAATAATCAGATCAACCTAGCCAAACAAGAACATGTACTCAATGAAATGAGGATTAAAATTGAAACTCACATACAACAGAAAATGCATAAAGCTATTTTTGTTTAAAATTCAAATAAAACAATAACCACAAATACATAAAGGCACAATTTAGAGCATTACTTGCAGACTACCATATACTTATATCATCACGTGTTCCAATTCCAATACTGGAAGAAAACGGCAAATGTGAATATTGAGTAATCCCATACTTGCTCAGCCAAGCCTAACAGAGAACCAGGCATAGGAACATATTGAATATAAAATAGGCTCGTGCTCTACTCTACAAGGGGGCTTATTCCATAGACCAACAAATTGCTGTGCGACCTGTACATTTTTGGACCAAAATAATGAAATCAGAAAATTTCTCTAATCAAGCATTTTTACAATTCAGCATTTTTTTAACTTAAATTTTGCAATTTCCTCATCCATTTTCCCACAATTCCCAATTTAATGAATTACAGCATTAGTTTTAAAGAATTTTCAGAAAAATAACTGACATTTATGAGTCACATGAATATACACATTCACACAACATAATAGAACTATATCAATGGAATGCCTAGGTAGATCAGATAAAGAGCATATTATAAAAGTACAATTTTAAACACAGATAAATGATTCCATACATGTTAATTTGGATTAAAAAAAATAAAAGATGTTTGTAATGTGGACAGGGAAGGGCATGAGAAATAAAATAGTACAACCCTTTTAAAGTGTATTATAAACAGGCCAAATGTGCACCAGCGAAACCAATGGAAAGTACCCTCTGTAGGGCTGGAATATTAGTTCTGCCCCATGGAATGCATATTTTTTATAAGCTTCCTTCAGAAAATCCACTGTCGTGCTACCCAAAATTGTGGGAACTGTGGAAAACAAAATAGGACATTGCCCATTTCAGGAGATTTATTTTTCCAAATGAGCTATTTTGGTTTAAAATGTGCAGTTCTATATTATTATTATTATTTTAAATGTCTTACTTTGGTGAATAATCCTATAATTTGTGTTTATTTAAGATATTTCACTTAATGCAAGCTGAAAAACTAAGTACATATTTTTATTGTTGCCAAATACTAATCCTTAAGGGGTTCTAGCAGGATTATTCATGAAAGTGAGAACGCAAAGTGATTTTCAAATTTACATTCAGAGTAGCCAAAGCGAAAGCATAGCTAGCTAAAATCATTTTTTTCCAGTTCAGTTATTTTGACTTTCCATTTTAAATGAATTTTGAATTCTCACTTTAGTGATGTTAGACACCAGCTCACACAGTGAAATGATTTGGCTTTAATATGAATATAACAAAAGAATATACAAAAAAGTTAAAATAGATGAATAGATATTACTGTATATACTCGAGTATAAGTCGCATTTTTTGTGCTGAAAAACCCCCACTCGACGTATACTCGACTCAATGTCTGTATTATGGCAACTTACATTGCCATAATACAGACCAGGACCGCCAGGCTCATTACAAGCCCAGCGGTCCTGTTGGGGGCCGGCAGGAAGCGTTTACTTACCTTTCCTGCAGCTCATGTCAGCTCCATTCTCCTCCACTCCGTTCAGCTCCACTGTAAGTCTTGCGTGAGCCGCGGCCGTCAGAGCTTTGCCACGGGTTACCGTGGCAACGCTCCACGCGGCACGCAGACCATGAGACTTACACTGGAGCTGGATGGAGCGGAGGAGAAGGTAGCTGACAGGAGCTGCAGGAAAGGTAAGTAACAGCCCGCTGCCATCCCCCCTCCTGCACAGTACACACCGCTGGACCACCAGGGACTGCGATATCCCCACTCCCTGGCCATGTATCAAGCAGGGAGGGGGGACAAAAAATATAAAATACAAATGTAAATAATATTATAATAAAATAAAAAAATAATAATATTAAAAAAAAATTTAAAAAATATATTAACGGTAAAAAAAATACAAATAAATTTAATATTAAAATAATAATAATAAAAAATAATAATAAAAATGCCCACCCCCCACCAAGGTTACACACTCTGCATCACATACACAAACACACACTGCACTCATACACACACACACACTGCATTCATACACACACTGCATTATATACACACACACACTGCATTCATTATATACACACACTGTAAATAAATATTCAATTAATATAAGTTTTTGGGGATCTAATTTTATTTAGAAATTTACCAGTAGCTGCTGCATTTCCCACCCTAGTCTTATACTCGAGTCAATAAGTTTTCCCAGTTTTTGGGGGTAAAATTAGGGGTCTCTGCTTTTATTTGGGTCGACTTATACTCGAGTATATACGGTATCAATCAAACACTATGAATGAAACCACTTACATCACTTAATTTTTTAACGTTGGTTCTGCTTTAACATTTGACATAAATGTTACAAAATATTCACTCTAAGTATGTGGCTAGATCAATGCCCTATTTCTCAAGAACAAATCAATTTTCTTTCGGTGAATCTTGGCTAAATAAATGGGCAATATGTGTAAACATGGCAACCAAAGAAAATTAGTGCAATTCTTGGGCAAAGTGCTAAACATGGAGAGATCAGCAGTAACATTTCAGTAGTTACCACGGTGAATGCTACACTTTTAGAACTTTGCCTTTTTTTTAAATATAATTTTGACATATTTTTATACATATAACCCTTAATATTGTACCAATAAACTGTAGATATTGTTCATTTTCTCTAGTGAAACACCTAAATATTAAGAAATGCAATTTTTTTTTATATAGTTTAAACCTGTAAGTTTTCCTTCAAACCTCCTTTTAATGTGATGCAGCTGCTGTAAGTTACAGCAGGAAGTGTACAGTGCACAGAGGATATGATTCCCTCTGTTTAAAATGGCAGTGTTAAATACCTAAACCCTTGCAGTCATATATACACCTCCTGGCCAAAAAAAAAGGTTGCCACCTGAATTTAACTAAGCATATCGGTAAAAGCCTCCTATTGGATAGTTACTGCACGCACAATTATCTTTCAGCTGGCAACAAGTAGCTTCTCATTTCTTAAACAACCATGTCGAAAGACACATCCCATGGTCGTGGAAAAGATAGTTAGTCTGTTTGAGAAAGGACCAATCATTTTTCAAGTAGAGACAACATCTAAGGAGATTGCAGAAACTACTAAAATTGGGTTAAGAACTGTCCAACGCATTATTAAAAACTGGAAGGATACTGGGGAACCATCATCTTCGATGAAAAAAATGTGGTCGGAAAAAAGTCCTGATCGTGATTGGCGTTTGGTGAAATCAAATTGTAGAAAAACAGTATAACTAAGGGCTATGTTTAATAGTGAAAGTAAGAGCATTTCCACATGCACAATGCGAAGGGAACTCAGCTTGGGACTGAGCAGCTGTGTAGCATTAAGAAAACCACTAATTAGTGAGGCTAATCAGAAAAAAAGGCTTCAATTTGCTAGGGAGCATGAAGATTGGACTCTGGAGCAATGGGCAATGGAGGTCATGTGGTCTGATGAGTCCAGATTTTCCCTGTTCCAGAGTGATGGGCGCATCAGGGTAAGAAGAAAGGCAGATGAACTGATGCACCCATCATGCCTAATGCCTACTGTGGGTGCAGTGCTATGATCTGGGGTTGATGCAGTTGGTCAGGTCTAGGTTCAGCAACATTATGTGCCCAAACAACAAAGTCATCTGACTACCTGAATATCCTGAATGACCAGGTTATTCCATCAATGGATTTTTTTCTTCCCTGATGGCACGGGCGTATTCCAAGTTGACAATGCCAGGATTCATCGGGACTCAAATTGTGAAAGAGTGGTTCAGGGAGCGTGAGACATCATTTTCACACACGGATTTACCACCACAGAGTCCAGACCTTAACCGGATTGAGAATCTTTGGGATGTGCTGGAGAAGGCTTTGTGCAGTGGTCCGACTCTCCCATCATCAATACAAGATTTCGGTGAAAAATTAATGCAACACTGGACGGAAATAAATCTTGTGACATTGCAGAAGCTTATCGAAACAATGCCACAGCGAATACATGCCGTAGGCAAAGTTAAAGGCGGTCCAACAAAACATTAGTGTGTGACCTTTTTTTTTTGGGTGGCGACTTTTTTTTGGCCAGGCAGTGTATTTGCGAATGTTAAGAAGTGCTTTTGCTCACAGAAGGAATTGTATTTCCATTCAAAGCAAAATCGAAGAGTGTGAATGGTTGGAGTGAATATCAAATTTTACGCTAAAATAGCTGAACAGAAAATATAGCTGACGGAGAATTTTCAAATTTTGACCTAATGTTTGAATTTAATTCTTGGGTTTATTCACTTAAGTGAGAATTGCCAGAAATTCAAAGTGAATTTAAAAAAAAAATAGGCCAAAATAGATTCTTTAGGACAATTTTTCATTTCTGTGTTGTGTTTGGCTATTTTGGCATTACGTTTTGAATTCACTTTGAATTCCCAGCAATTGTCACCTTACTGAATAGCCTGTCAGTTAAAAAACATAAAAAAAGACCCTAGCGTCTCTTATATTCATATCCAGTGTGTTTTGTTATCTTTCATGAAGTGGTTGTTATTGCTTCCCCTGCATTGTTTAGGAAGCTTAAACACTGGTTGGCAAACATGTAAATTTCCTCCTTTGCAAGAGAGGCTGGTGGCACACTGAGGAGCCTTGTCACATCCAAGGCAGTTTATCTCTGGAGTGAATCCATGGCAGTCTCTGCTTCCCACTGCAAACAGTGTTATCTGTCTTTTGTCTGCGGATGGCTGGTATAAAGTCTTAAAGCTTTTCGACATATGAGCCAGAACCAGTATATCTGTGGGGCCATAATGCTGGCGTTTATGACATTGCAGTGCAGAGGGATATTGAAAGGCACTTTGTATATTGGGATCCCATACTGTTTTCCATAGGCATTGTACATGAATGGAAAAAGAAGAATGCGACAGATAAAGAAGGTAATTAGCACAACAGCACCGTTCACTTTATGCAGGAGGGAATTTTGCCAATTTATCTGCAAGAAATAAAGAAATGGTTTAGTAAAAGAATACTACATGTAATTAAAACTGTAATTTATTACTTTATCTTGATGGGTTTTCTCATTTTGTTCAAGCACAATGGGGGATATTTATCAAGGTGTTCTGAAAAGTGAGGGTTAAAGGAACACTGCAAGCACCATAACCACTACACATAACTGTAGTGGTTATGGTGTCATGTGTGCCCTGGTGCCCCCCATTGAAAGAAGTCAAACTCTTTTCTCCACTACTTCCATTGGAGAGCCAAAATGCTCTCTATCTTAGCCAGGCCTGGCGGTGTGATCAGTTGACACACTAAGTCAATGAGTAGCCTTTATTGCCAGTGCACTGTAGTTGCCTTGGGAAGAAAGAAGAGGGACCTTCTCTGCTCTCCCTTGCCAGTCAAAGCCTCGGCACGCCAAGTCATTGCCTGACAGCTGGGATAAAAAAAAAAATTAAAATAATTTAAATAGGTTTTTCTCCTAATGTATACATTTTCTAGCATGTATTGATAAAATCCTATGCTTAATCTAATGAGCATAAATTGTTTGGAGCATAACAGGTGCCATTTTAATACAGTCTTACTTGAGGACAAATAAGGAAAATCTTTTAGCTTCTGCACTAGAATGTATAAATGTCAGGTATTTGTGAGCCACAGCACAGAGGAAATGAATCAGTTTGTCCAAAACATTTGCACAAGTGTATCCCTTTGAAATGTCAACATTTGAACACACAGTCATAACTGTGCCTTCAAAATGTCAACTTAGGGCTGTTTTTTTCTACAATTTTATTCTGGATGCTCTCAGGAAATTATAGCACTCTGCCAGGTTGAACTTACTGTGTACTTTGCTGTATACTTTATTGGTAAGATAGAAGTAATGGAAATTAAAGGCCTTGATTAATTTTTTGTTGGATAAGCTTTTTAAATATTCAAACTTTTCAAATTATTTATGTACAAAAATTTGTCATAAACTTTAATAGTGACTTCTGTAGATAAATAATTTGAAAAGGTTTTCTAACTGACTGTTGTCATTTGAAAAGCTTATCCAAAAATATTACATTTAGGCCATAGTTACAAATTCGGGTTAGACTACGGGTTATGGGGAACCTAGGAATGAACTCCACATGCTATTGACTGCAACTAACAAACATATTTTGTTTCAAATAATTCCTAAGCATTTTTAAAATGAAAATGTATACAGTCTTCTGTTTTTCTCCACCTCTGCTTTTATGCCAATATTTTTTATCTTATTCACTGGGCCTTACTATAAGTATGCAGAACCAAGGGAGGGCTGGCAGCCTGGCCTGCGGGGCAAATCCAGTCAAGTTGCCCATTGTACCAAAAGGAGAGTAAAAACACCTTCTCCATGTGAATGAAGGGGTGGTGGGGGGCAGTCACCTAAACAGACAAACTCACTGACAGGCACACACACATTTGCTGACACACACTAATAAACACACAATCACTGACACCCACACACACATACATTGGCTGACACACACACATTCACACACACACACACACACACACACACACTGACAACAAACTTTACACTTTTAAAGCCAGTAGACAGGGGCTGTGTAAGGGGCTGTAGTGGGGGTATGAGCTGTAATTCGGGGGTTAGGAAATGTAGTGGGGAGGGATAGGGGCTGAAGTAGGTTGATGGCTACAATTTGGGAAAGGGGCTGTGGTGTTGGTGATATGGGTTGAAATTGGGGGAGACTTGCTGTGGTGGGGGGCATGGGGCTGAAAAGGGGGACCAGGAGCTGAGGGGCAGGGCAGGAGTGGAGAGGTGGGGACAGGAGCTGAGGGGCAGAAGCTGAGGGGGTGGCTGGAGCTGAGAACAGGGAGTGAGGGGGACAGGAGCTGAGAGGGGGGGAAGGAGCTGATGGGGTAGGGGCTGAGTAAGGGAGATAGGGCTGAGGAAGGGGAATAAAAAAAAAACTAAAGTGTATTCCACCCTCCCTGTGTCTTACCTTAGGCCAGGGAGTGGTGGGCAGGAGCCAGGAGTCAGTGGAGTCGGCAGGCCACTCCTGATGATGTCAGGAGGAGGGGGCGTGACTTCCTCTGCTCTTCTCCCAGACTCCCCAGCGGTCCAGTGAGAAGAGCAGTGGAAGTCACGCCACCACCTCCTGACATCATCAGGCTGCAGGGAGAGAGGTACATTGAAAAATCCAAGTTCCCAGCCAGAGGCAGAGGATTCAGATTTTTCCTTTTTTTGCTGGATGCGGACGGCCCTGGATTTAATGCGGCCTGGGGGGCAATTGCCCCCCGTCCCAGCCTGCCGATGTGCAGAACAGTGTAAAGGGAGCATGTCATTCTATGGCTTCAGGGTGACAGGCCTGCGAATGAGGGCTGCTCTTACACTAACCATTTCTGAAGTACCAGCACATGGAAATTTCACGAGAAATTGCAGTGCATTTATACATGCTCTAGGTTTGCATTTTAATAAATGTTCCCAACACACGGGTTGACAGAACCACTCTATGCAGTGACTGGGAGGATTGTGCGTAGTGTGACTGACTGTTGAAATAAGGAATTATACATAAAGCAGTGTTACTGTATCTTGTTTGTTGATCACAGCAGATGTTTATAGATAAAAGCAGGTGAGTGCAGGGAAATATTCCTAAACAGTATAATCATACAGACTGGTATTAGTGGATTACCTGTATTAAAACTTTACCAAGTGATACAAATGGAGTGCTCAGTTCTGCTGTAAACAAACAGCCAACAAAGAAATCACCAATATCTCTTCTTAAAAACTGAAACAAAAAAAAGAAAATGTGAGGAACATATTGTGCTAAATAAATAAAAATAATGAATTCAATAGGCTATCTGAATATCATGCTACAACTACACTTTTGCCATCCTCTAATACTGTAATGCAATTCAGTGCAATAATTATATAAATAATGGGAAATGTAGTCCAACAACTAACAAAGGCCTACGTTTGCCATCCCAGTACTAGAATGAAAATGAACACATTTTAAGGGTGCTTGATGCCATATACTGTACAGCAGCTTTTACACATACTGTCACAAGGCTAGTCTTGCCAAGATTGGCCATATTGAACTATTTATTTAAGACATCAAAGAAAGAAACATGTGGAGGTCACCCAAGGTAGGCAATCCCAAGTGCACCAAGATGAGCTGTGAGGCAGATACTGGACAACATAATTAATTTCCATTAATCATTAAAAACAAAAGGGAGTGTGCAAACCTAAACACTTTATTAAAGTGCTGAATTCTCTTAAAATTGATTTTTATAAAGTGACAAAGAGGGGACATTAATTTAGCCCCTAAAGCACCTCAATGAGCTGATGTGCTTTATGGGCATAGAAGGTACCATTAAATACCATAGGGGATCTACTTTCTATAAACATATACTTTTGTGTAAAAGTCTTGTATTATGTGATGTGACCCCTATTAACATTATAGTCTCAGCAACTTTTACCAATTTCTACTTTTAAAACCATATTTAACTCCTTGCAGCACTTGCCCTGTAACTTTAAAAAAATAAATATAATTAAAGGACCGCTATAGGCACCCAGACCACTTCAGCTCAATGAAGTGGTCTGGGTGCCAGGTCCATCTAGGGTTAACCCTGCAGCTGTAAACATAGCAGTTTCAGAGAAACTGCTATGTTTACACTAGGGTTAATCCAGCCTCTAGTAACTGTCTCATTGACAGCCGCTAGAGGCGCTTCCGCGCTTCTCACTGTGAAAATCACAGTGAGAAGACGCTGACGTCCATAGGAAAGCATTGAGAAATGCTTTTCTATGGACTGATTGAATGTGTATTCGGCCCTGGCGTCGTAAGAGGGAGGAGAGAACCCTAGCACCGAGGGAGCCCGGTGCTGGAGAAAGGTAAGAGTTTAACCCCTTCAGCCCCCTATAGGCCGACGAGAGTTGGAAGGGTGGGACCTAAAGACCCTATAGTGCCAGGAAAACAAGTTTGTTTTCCTGTCACTATAATGGTCCTTTAAATTCTGTAACAATCCAGACTAATAAGTGAGGTTTATGTTTTTGTTTGATTTTGCAGTTATGTAAAAAAAATATTAAAAACAAAGAAAGGAAATTTATATATTTTTCCTTTTATTATTTTATTCATATATAATTGTGTGCTATAATGTAGCAGAAGAATCCCTGTCTATCATTAAAAAAAAAATAATATATAAATATATATATATATATATATATATAATGTATATGGTTGCACTTAAATAGACAGCCATGTGGAACAATTAGCACAACTGCAGAAAAAGCCTTTAATGAATGCATTGAAAAGCCTTTTTTTGAAGAGGCTCATTTATGAAGTGGTTAAATTGATGTATTTTTGTTATATTTTTCTTCAAGATCTTTCCTAGAGCAGGCAACTCGAGTTGTTAAGAAGGGGCTATTTGTGGCTGGTATTGGTGCAGATTTCCTGAAACCAGATCTCTCTTTAAAGGGACACTATAGTCACCAGAACAACTTAATGTAGTTGTTCTGCTGAGTATAGTCAGATCCTGCAAGCTTTTTAATTTAATCACAGCCTAGGAACACAAAGGTCGTCTTAACTTTATTATAGGTTTACTGCTTCACCAAACTGTTTGTGTTAATTTTGTCTTGCTTCAGTACAATTAATATGTACGTTGTTTTCGTCAAGGTCAAGATATGTATTTGCAACAGCAAGATCACATGTACAGATAACAGCTGCGGTGATTAGTCCACCTAAATGTTTTTAAAAAGAGGGTTTGAAAGTTCTGAATAAATCTCTTGGAATAATATACTGAAACTTGGCAAGCCTATGGTGCCCCTATACTCATTGGACCCCAGGGCATCTGACCAGTGTGCCAATGCTTAAAGACAAACCTGAGGAAAACCTCTAGTCGCCACTCCTCTGATAGCCAATAGAGGTGCTTCTAGGGGCAGTGCTGCACAGTGGCCCCATTCGCAATTAATCTCAAGAATAAATTCAGAAAAGATGTAAATGGACTGTGTGAAAGCACTTCCAACCCCAAGTTTTTTGGTTTGTTTTTTTAATTTGAGGCTTGTTTTTAAAAGCTAAGTTTTTAAAAATAATATTGTATTGTAGTTTGACTGGCTTGTGTTAGACAATAGGATATGCATATAACGTTGGAAAATAAAGGAGAAAGGCCTATATATATATGTGACAGGTATACAAGGCACACAATTCAGATTTCTTATCTCTGTAGAAACACATAGGGACGTTTTACTACGCTCTCCAAACTATACGACTAGATTATGGACTTCTGTTCACTTATTTATCTTGTTGTGTTTAGTTTGGGAAAGCTTACCTTTGGTTTACTTTCCCTTCCAGATAAAACATCTACAGTTCTTTACTGGATCCGTCTATGTTAACCCTAGAAATTAGCATGACTAAGATATAGATCTTGTTTAAGAGCCCTGGAAATGAGTAACCGTATTTATTAAATTCAACCTTAAGTTACGTGGAGGATATCTTCAAAAGCTGGACACAGTGTATTTGCATAAGCAGAACTATTGACAGATGTATGTGTGTTGAACAACCGTTTGAATACATGCAGGTAAGGGAATTTGGCCATGGTCTTTTAGGATTTATTAACATATATTTTGCTTTACCTAGGTGAAAACATAGTCATGAGACCAATATGACCTCTCATGGCAGCTCAAATACTAATAAAAATCAAAGAAAACTGTTACTTTCACACTATCTAAACTGCCTAGGGGCATTTAAATAACTTGAGGTTTTTTAGTATCACTCCAATAGCCATTAGAGTGTAAGCTCACCTACCACATCAAGGCAAAGCCTCTTAGGTGATAACTAAACTAACAATTCACCTTGCTGCTTTCAAAATCTCTAGTGAGATAGAGAGGGGCATTTTTCTAAACCCCCAAACACTCATTAACCCTTAATAGGGAACACATAGGTGGGTAACATGCCTGTGTAATACAAAAGCAAGTGCAAACATACAAAAGTAAGCCCTGCGCTATGTTAATCTCACTACATCTGGGCGGCGGCAGCAATACTTATAGTACATCAGCTCACACAGTAAAAAACAAAGAATGTATTGGGTCTAATGTGTACTTTAGTCATTGCTGCCACCCAGAAGTATTTGGGGTCAGAGTGCAGGGCTTAGTTTTGTATGTTTGCAGATACTAATAAAATCTACACCAATAACATGGAACCAATATAGTTTCTAGTGTAGTAAAAGTATAGTCCTGACTTGTGCCTTTAGGTTGGTGAAGAAAGAGAAGTGGTTGCCTTTTAAAGGAAGTCATTTACAATGAGAAGAGTTTATGTTGTCAACATTAATCATTTGGACTGTACATATACGTTTCCTTTAAACAAAACTTGTCTGTTCCCCGTGTACAATATTATCATTCTATTCTACACAAAAAATATAAGTATGGAAGTGTTTGCAATTTACATTGCGGAATTTAAATTAAAAAATCTATACCGATTTAATACAGGAATTTGGAGTCTTCTCATCATTCTTACCAGACCAATAGGTACAATTATAGTTAGAATTGCAGTGTGATGGACGAGCATGAGGAAGTCCTTCTTTAGGAGGCTGTTCATTGCTTTGGAGAAATGCTCTTTCCCATTTAAGATCCTTTTGTCCTGACATTTATACCAGTGCCGAAGGTACATCGCATACGTGTCATACACCATATATGGAATAATGAACCAGATGTACCCTGTTGCCAGCCAGTGTCTGAGGAGAAATATACTGTATTATAATATCAGCACACACAATTGTTAAGCATTGGTATCTAGGGGATGTGGACATTCCTTCATACTGCCACCAAAGTAAAGACTAGATTTAGACACTCAAGACCACCAGCAAAAATGTGGGTCTGTAGCACAACTCTATTAAGCAGGACCTTTTTAATACTGGTATGAGTGACATGTTCCAGTTCCCCCACTGGTATCATTAAGTCACCCCCTCTATATGTTCTTTTGTGTCCCTTTCCTTCTTTTCAGACCTTTCATTGATTTACTGACACCTATTATTGTCTTGCTTTTTTTCAGTCCCATGCTTCCTCTTTTTGTGTACCTATTTCTACTGAGTAATAATTTTATTTCCTTCCGCTACAAAAAGAATAGATTAGTCGGCGAATGTAATGTTTGCTAACATTTGTGAATAGCATCTCAAACAAACTGATAATATTAATAATGACGTACACAAAACCTGTGTTAGGGTGTGGCTTTTTTACACTTGGTTAACTGCCAAAAACCAATTATATCATTCACCACTGAGCAATTTGAGGTGGAATTTGTACTATACGGCCGTGCATAAGCCTGAATAAGTGTTTATGCACGCTTCATTATGCATTCAAAACAAATGTGTGCATGCGCATGTGATGCAAATGGCTAAACAAATCGGAAAATAATTCACACACCAATTATATCACAGATATAGGAATGTAGTCACCAATACAAGGAGCACTATTGCAAAATGCTGAATCAGAAAATAAAATTGTAAATGTTGATGGACAATGGAAATAAAACATTTCACTAGCTAATTGATACAGAACATAAGGTCATCAACAAAAGAAACAGCTGGAAAAAAAAGGTTACATGTATATAGTGTTTAATTCACAGCATTCCTTAACATGCATACAAAAATGTATATGCACACAAATATGAGATGGCTGGTATGCTTGGAGTTGTGGAAGAGATTTCCCGGCCTATTTATAGTCACCAGTGGTAGGCAGTACAAAGTCAAGTGGGATACTGACGGCATTGCAGATACAGGAGACTTTATTTCTTTTTTCGTACCTTACAGTTTAAGGCAGGGCTGTCATAAACCACCCACTGCACATGGTCTCATTGGTCTTCACGCTTGGGTCCTACTGCTTGCGGCAGCAGCACACCAGGGCCGGACTGGCCCACCGGGATACCGGGAAATTTCCCGGTGGGCCGCGGCACTTGGGGCCGGTCTGACAGCTCCTGTGATCCTGGCCGGCCATGTACAAGGTGTGTGGCCGCACAGAGCCCCATGGGAGCAGGGGGAGCCAGGCGGCCGGCACAGCTCACACATGACCGGCAGGGATCATTAAATTTAAAAAAAAAAAAAAAAAAATTTGCGGCGGGGCTTACCGTGCGGCGGGGCGGGGCTTACCGTGCGGCGGGGGCCTGGCTGACTGCAGCATGGGAAGCAGGAAAGAGTCCCTGCTTCCCCAACAACAAGCCTCCAGGAGCTCCAAGCAGGAGGGAAGAAGCAGGTCAGTGTGTCTGTGTGTGACTGCCTGTGAGTGTGTGACTGCCTGTGACTGTGTGACTGTTTGTGTGTGACTGCCTGTGAGTGTGTGACTGCCTGTGACTGTGTGAGTGTGTGACTGCCTGTGACTGTGTGAGTGTGTGACTGTCTGTGTGTGTGTGTGTGACTGTCTGTGACTGTGTGAGTGTGTGACTGTGACTGTGTGACTCTCTGTGACTGTGTGACTATCTCTGTGTGAGTGTGTGACTGTGTATGAGTGTGTGACTGCCTGTGAGTGTGTGACTGTCTCTGTCTAAGTGTGTGACTGCCTGTGAGTGTGTGACTGTCTCTGTGTGAGTGTGTGACTGCCTGTGAGTGTGTGACTGTCTCTGTGAGACTGACTGTGTGTGACTGCCTGTGAGTGTGTGACTGTCTCTGTGTGAGTGTGTGACTGCCTGTGAGTGTGTGACTGTCTCTGTGTGAGTGTGTGACTGCCTGTGAGTGTGTGACTGTCTCTGTGTGAGTGTGTGACTGTCTGCCTGTGTGTGAGTGTGTGGCTGTCTGTCTGTGTATGTGTGTGGCTGACTGCCTGTCTTTGTATGTGTGGGTGTTTGCCTCGGTGTCAGTGACTGTCTGCCTGTGTGTGTGTGTGTGGCTGTCTGCCTGGGTGTCAGTGACTGTTTGCCTCTGTGTGTGTGTGCGCACATCTGCTAGTGAGGGAGCCTCTGTGTGTATGTGTGTGTGTGTGTGTGTGCCTGCTAGTGAGTGAGCTTGTCTGTAAGGAGCATGGGTGTGTCGGAGCCTGTCTGTGGTGAGCATTTGTGTACAGTGAGCTTGTCTGTAGTAAGCATGAGTGTGATCGTGAGCTTGTCTGTAGTGACCATATGTGTGTCAGTGAGCTTGTCTGTAGTAAGCATGAGTGTGATCGTGAGCTTGTCTGTAGTGACCATATGTGTGTCAGTGAGCTTGTCTGTAGTGAGCATGTGTGTGTCAGTGAGCTTGTCTGTAGTGTATCTGTGTGTTAGTGAGCTCTTCTGTAGGGAGCGTGTGTGTCAATGGGCTTGTCTGTAGGGAGAGTGTGTGCGCATCAGTGAGCTTGTCTGTAGTGAGCGTGTGTGTGTAACAGTGAGCTTGTCTATAGTAAGCTTGTTTGTGTGTATCAGAGTTTGTCTGTACTAAATTTGTGTGTGCGCCAGTAACCTTGTCTGTGTGTGTCATTGTCTGTCAATGAGCCTATTTGTGTGCATCAGTAAGATTGTCTGTCTGTGTGTGAGTATGCTTTACTGTATAATTTAATTACCCTAAAAGAACTAATTTTTGAATTAGAAGAAGAAATGTATCAATAAAAAAAAAAATTATAATAATAATAAAAAAAATAAAAAAATAAAAAAAAAATATATATATATATATATATATATATATATATACTGTTGCATCACCAGGGCTCCACTATATATATAGGCAATTGAAATAGTTGGCTGCACTCTCGGATTTCCTTAAAATTTTACTTTTATTGAAATATTTAAAGGACCACTATAGTGCCAGGAAAAAATACTCGTTTCCCTGACACTATAGTGCCCTGAGGATGCCCCCACCCTCAGGGACCCCGTCCCGCCCGGCTCTGGAAAGGGGAAAAGGGGTTAAACTTACCTTTTTCCAGCGCTGGGCGGGGAGCTCTCCTCCTCCGATCCTCCTTCTCTCCTCTCCGTCGGCTGAATGCGCACGCGCAGCAAGAGCTGCGCGTGCATTCAGCCGGTCACATAGGAAAGCATTCATAATGCTTTCCTATGGACGCTTGCGTGCTCTCACTGTGAAAATCACAGTGAGAAGCACGCAAGCGCCTCTAGTGGCTGTCAATGAGACAGCCACTAGAGGATTAGGGGGAAGGCTTAACCCATTCATAAACATAGCAGTTTCTCTGAAACTGCTATGTTTATGAAAAAATGGGTTAACCCTAGCTGGACCTGGCACCCAGTCCACTTCATTAAGCTGAAGTGGTCTGGGTGCCTAGAGTGGTCCTTTAAGAGAAGATCAACGTTTCAGTCCCTCTTGTGGACTTGCATCAGGATCATAACGAAAGTCCACAAGAGGGACTGAAACATTGATCTTCTCTTAAATATTTCAATAAAAGTTACATTTTCAGGAAATCCGAGAGTGCAGCCAACTATTTCAATTGTGTATGTATATATATATATATATATATATATATATATAAACACCCTACATAGCACAATGACTTATGGGGCTGGCATAGATTTTTTCCAGGGCTGCTTCGTATTCCCAGTCCGGCCCTGCAGCACACAGTATGCACTCGGCTACTCTCCACAGTTTAATTTGGATAGAACCGGTGCCAGGGCTAACTTCTAAGTTACTTTCACACCGATGGTAGCAGTGTGCCTTTGACTGGGTGGGGAGGAATCTCTTTTTTTGCACCTTGTAGTTTGGTAGTACAGCAGTTCGAGAAGGCAACAGCGTGGCAAAACGTGATCTACATATTATGCATGCAGACTTTTTTGTTTTTCCCTCCACTTTTCTTGGTGAGTGGGGCCCCAAGCTGGCAACCCTTCCTGGGGCAGGTTTGTGGTTAATCACTGAGCTAGGAAGTTAAAGGGGGGACTTTTTAGTTTGCATACTGGGGATTTTATATCTTTTATATCTGCACGCCCCCAATAAGTGTCAGTCTTTAAAGAATAAGACTGCAGCCATGCAGTATGCTCTTTATGGCATGTCTTTAAATATTTTTGCTGTATATTTAGTGGACTCTTACCATTTATTTCCTTTCTCTACTGATAGCTGCACTTGGTATGTGGGTACCATGTTACGTTTTGCTTTTGAAATATTATATCATGTGCATTTAACAGTGTTGTTTTAGACAGTGGCATTTCAATAATAAACTAAATTTTCTATTATTGCAAGTTGTTTATTGGAGCTAAGCACCAGAGCTAGACCTAGGTAAAAATTAACTAATGCAAGTTCGTCTTATTTTCAGAGTCTTATTGGATTAAAAGGAATTTTATTCACACGGACTGGCCAGAGCAGATTTGTGCACAAATCTAATCATACAAAATGCAGCTATGCATTATTAGGCCAGGTAACTATTGCTGTGCTATTTGATTGTCTGCTCCATCTATGTATTATTGCGCTATCTCAATTTCCGTTTTTTCCACAATTTTAGTACTATATGATGTCAGAGAAATGTTTGCATTGTTGTGCTTTTGGTGGTCAATCTATGCATGGTAAAGTTATAGGAATGACAGGTAATCTATGTATTGTAAAGCTGTAGAAATATTATTTCCCAGCATTGTTATGGTATTGGAAGTCAGATCTGTGACGGACCGCCTGGCACCCCGACCTGGTACCTCCATCAATCGCTGCTTCCTAGCACTTGCCAGCACCATAAGCACTGCACTGGAACACCATAACCACCGTAAACCCCACAAACCGCCGCAGCTTGGTTGGGGTCTCGCTGTCCTCCACCCACCCTGGACCCAACACCAGAATCCAGCTTCCAGTGGGTTGACCTCTCCTAGTCCAGAGAGCAAAGCAGGCTGCTCTTATATGAGTAAGTGTTGTGATCCAAGAGAGTATAGTGACTATAGCAATCCCCAGAATGTGAATATAGCTCTCCAATCCCCCAAACATGAGCCTAGACCTTATGAAGGGTAAAACGAATCTCAGTTTAATGGGAGCCACACTTGGCCTTATATGACAATCCCCATGCAAGGGGTACGCGAACATGGACCTGATGGTAGACTAATTTGTAACTTCACAGACCAATAACAATAAGGTTATAAGGCACAACACTCCCACACACAGCACACAATCCCTCCCCTCTGCCTAGGAGATAATTGAGTCAGATACTGTATTAACTCAATTATCCCCAGTCAGAAAAAAATTCTAAAAACCCCAAAAGTACCACAAAACACATAAAATCCCCACAAATGTTACATCCCCCGATAGCCCTGATCAGGGGATCAGGGCCAACATATCCAAAAATCACTCAGATCAGTTCAGGAATTTCCTGGAAGTCTTATTTTTGACCGACCGTGCACATGGTCCTTTGCCCAAAACAGTTCCAGGGAATCAGTCTCTCTGTCTGGAGTACAAAAGTACATTACACACATGAACAGAGCCTTTTACAGTGCATTGGGCAAGGTATATTGCAGGGCCCAAAGTTCTGAGGCAAAAGGCTGGCCAGCAGGCCCCTCCAAGAACCTGTGACGAGGTTCAGTTCGTCACAAGATCAATTTATGTATTGTTGCACTGTTCAACGCATTGTTCGGATCCTGGCATTATCTATCTTCTAGGTACATTGGTTTTAGCTTTGCTTATTAGCTATATGTCCACCGGTGCAACCTAGGCTTTGTTTCTCTATCCTAAGTTCATCTTTTGTAAGTTCTGTCTATGAATGAGAAGGATCACGACAGGCAATACAATTTTGTGTGGTTTTACATAGCATCAAGTACATATAAACAAGCTGGGCATGATTTCATCATACATATCTTCAACCTGTGCACTGGATGGGTGCCTTCGCACTTGATGTTTTGTTTCAGTTATGAACAAGCAAGGCATCAATCTCACATGTCCTATCCTATGGTTTCTACAATTTTCTTATGCCTTCTAAGAGTTCTTACACTATGTTTAACAGGTCATTAAGACATATTAATTATACAAATGATGATTCCCTGGGTGCCAACATGATACTGTTCACTATATACTGTACATAATTAATTTCACTAGGTAACAGAAACAATACACCGTAGAGAAATTAATTTAATTAGTCAAGCAATTGTGCTAGTCATACCATTTGAGCTGTAGGAATATTTGGGCTGTAGGAACAGGAATATTTCTTTCCTTTTATGGTATATACTTACTTTTTTTGGAGGGGAGGGGGAGAAGGGTGGACAACACAGAATTTCCTTTTTATGTGTACGTGTTCTGGAGAGCATTAGTGGTACCTTGCTGCACGGTTATACTTTTTTTTTTTTTTTTAAACCGCAGAAGGACATAGTTTAAGGGTGTTTGCCTTTGGATATTAGCAGATTCTTTGAAGTGTGTATTAGCAGTTAAATATTGTGGCTATATTTCCACAATTCAGTAGCCCTTTTATTGCACGCATTGGGAGTTGGGCAGTTAGTAGCACTTAGATGCCATGTAGTGACTTTGCAGTATGCATTCCCATTTGTTTGCTATTTTGGGAAAGGCAGTTATCGTCGGTAGTTCTGGAAAAGTATGCATTCAATCAGCTGTGATGGTAGACATTTGGTAGTTCTCACTTTAAAAATTATTTTTTTTAAATTCTTTATTTATTTCATTTCACATGAGAGTAAGACAGTGAGTGGGCTATTGCCAAACAGACCTGACATATGACAGGCAAAACACAAGAATTAGCTTTATATTGAAAACATGCATAATTAGGTTATTTGCAAGTTAAAAACAATAGATCACAATAAAGAAGTAACGAAGTTACAAACCCTCCAGGGCACATTAGAATAGCTCAGAAAATATAAACTCACTGGGGCTTATGTGCTCCATGAGGCAGCGCCCTCCAGGGACTTATACCGCACAAACACATATCACTTTTGTTGTTTCTAGAGGTGGTGGTGGGGATATTGTAGCAAGCTATTATTATGAGGTACTTTAAGCAGGTGACTGCAAGATGTGTGGATCCATAAATGTGCATCACTAACAAGTAATATAACGATGAGCAGTAAATGAGAGGTGTAAATCTACACAAAACACATCAAACAGCATTCATAAGATGAAAAAGTAATAAAAGGAAACTCCTGATGAAGTGTGGGAGATCAGAGAGGACTATGATGTCAGAGACTCCACAGATTTTCAGGTTGTGTCTTCGACTTTGGTTCTCCAGGGTCTCCAATTTCTTGGCTGTACTGAGTTGCTGATTTTCGAGGTCTACACATTTCAGTTTCAATGTGGTTAGTCGAGTTTCTTAGATGCTTGCCGAAACCTTTAGAAGGGTAAGCCTCGTGGTGGGACCTTTAATGGCGTCCTTCAAGTAGACCAGGTCTGCCGCCATACATACTTTTTAGCAAGCATGCATTGACTGGTTTTTCGGCCAGGGTGTCTTGGTCTTGTTCAGAGATGGTGGGCCAAGCGAAGCTCTCCCTCTCTCTGAGATTTATTTCAGACATATAAGAGGAGCCCTCATCCCCCAGCGCCATTTTCTCCCACGCAGCCCTCTGTGAGTTTCATAGAAGTTCATCAATGTCTCGGCTGTTAGGTGCTTTATCCGCCCTAGGTTTTTTATTTTTCCTGCCCATCTTGACTACTTAGTGCTGCAGTCTGTGGGAAGCTAAGTAGTGAGAAGGTAAGTACCCAAATTCCGCCCAAAAATCTGGTATTTTGCAGGATTTAGCTTGGAGCTCTTTGGGATGTGTCTGCTCTGGTCTGCAGCTAGCTCTGCCCCTCAGTAGTTCTCACTTTTGCGTGTTTCCACTTTCAGGAATTATTTCTAAGCAAGCTACATTTTAGTATGTTTTCTTTGCTGTAAATAATTTATTTCATGAGTTGAGTGAGTATTCAGATTAGGCATTAACTTTTGGTCTTGTCCATTCCATGGTATCCATATTCTCTATTTAATTTCGGTAAGTATAGTTTACTATGATTGTAACAGAGATATCTGTGTTTTGCTAGCTTAGACGATCTCACTGAATTTGGTAGGAATTGTGTTTTCTCCACTAACATATTGGGCAGGTATAGTTGTATATTGACATGTGTACAAGTTTTTAAGCTGCATTCTAGCATCACTTTTGTTTGATAACTTAGAAGAATTTTTATTATACATAGAAGGATAGTGTATACTATAGATGACTCTTTGGTCACTGAGCCTCATCAATCATTGATGTCACGTGTTTGGAACTGGCCGAGTCATTAAGTTTTCTCTATCATAGAGGTGACATGTCAGAATTTGCCATAGTTTGCATACATCCTTTTACCAAAGTCTCATGGTCAAAATTGACCAAAGCATCAAACTTCCTTTATCGCAGAGGCAATGTGTTCATCAATTGATGCTTAGTTACTAAGCTTCCTCTATCGCAAGCTTATCACATTGACTTAGTTACCAAGCTTTTTCGATCCTAGTGGTCAATTGGTCATTTTTACTTGGCTTCCTCTATTGCAGAGGTCACACGCTCATCAAATTGATATTTTATACTGAACTTGCTCTAATTACAAAGGTTACATGCTTATGAAACTTGTTACTGAGCTTCCTCTATAACAGAGGTCATATGAAACCAGTATTAGGTTACTGAGCGTCCACTATCACAGTGGTCACTCACTTATCAAATTGGTATTTGTTATTGAGCTTTCTTTGTCGCAGAGGTCACACACTCATCAATTGGTTTAGCCTCAACACAGAGGTCATGCACTCATAAGTTGCTGTTGCCAAGATTCCTCTTCCATAGTGACCATGTATTGTTCATTTGCAGGAACCAAGTTTAATGAACTTAATTACCAAGCTTCTTCAATCCTAGAGGTCATGTGCTCATCAAATTAGTAATTGTTACTGGGCTTCCTCTTTCGCAGAGATCAAACGCTCATCAAGTTGGTATTTTATACTGAACTTCCTCTAATTACAAAGTGTAACAAACTTACCTGATCCAGGTGCCCACGCTGCTCCTCTTGATGATTCACTCAAGCTTAACGTTTCGCACGGCTTTGCTCCTACCCTCCTCAGGTATCGCGGGCCAGAACAGGCCATACACATACTAATCATTAGTTTGCCTGGGAACCGTTCTTCCTACTAAGGCTCTAAGTTCTTTGGACACTACCCACTGTTTTATCTACGTCCTTTTAAAATTCAAATAGCGCAACGTCACATCCGACTTTAAAGTGACCACGTCATCTTTGCGACTCTAAATTAATAGAATATAACATAGTCACTTTAAAGTCGAGCGTAATTTGCGCGATTTGAATTATAAAAGGACATGGATAAAACAGCAGGTAATGTCCGAAAGAACATAGGGCCTTAAAACATTCATCCCACGCAAACCAGGAGGAGGAGAAGTTCCCAGGCAAACTAATGGATAGTACGTGTATGGCCTGTTCCGGTCTGCATGACTTGGACCAAACAGAAAGTATGTTAGCCTTATAAAGTTCATTTTGGCCCTTTTTCATTTCCCTGTCGTGGTTTGTGCCTTGATACATGTTAGTGCTTATAGTAAGTCTCTCTTGATATATATTTTGATATAGACCTTGGCTTGTATTTGACTTTTTGTAATTTTGGTACCCTTACCCGGCTTGTTTTTGACCTTGAGTATTTCTGGTATCCTGACCCAGCATGTTATTCCGTTTATCCGTATTTCTGTATTCCTGACCGTGGCTATTATTGACTTCGTCTTTATCTTTTTCGATAGGTCTAGCCACTCTAAGGCCCGGTAATACGTCTATCTAGTACCTCTGTTTGTGGGATTTGCCATTTCCTGTAAGTTGGGGTATGAAATATGGTATAAAATATAAACCAACTAATGGAGCGCTATATAAATATAAAATAGTGGAGGGGTCCACTTACTCCATTAATGCAATAACACACTTGGGAATATGTACTTGGGGACACATATAAAGAGAAGAAAACAGCAGTGATGAGTGAATAACTAGAACCACTCACATGGACTGGAGCCTATGTAGTATTGGCTCCATAAAATAAGCCTTTTTGCTCTTTGGGCAGCAACACACCACTTCCTCAGTAATGATCATCCAAAGACACAAAAAGAAGAAATAGACCAGATGTGTAGCACTGTGCAAAATTGCAATTATTATGATGATGGTAAGTATTATGCTCACCTTGTTAAGAGCCTTACGTACCTGGCTCTAAGGGTGATCAGAAGTGTGCCAATTTCTTGGGATGGCACTCCCCAATAAAGTTCCTGGATACTTAAGGACTTGATGGAATAACTGATAAAATGTATTATTTCCAAATAAAACCAAAATATACTAGGTATACAAAAATATAAAATAAATGCAGTTAAAAGTCCAAAGTCAGCCAAAACGCGTTTCACTTGTCTGTGAGCTTCCTCAGTCAGCTGTAGTGTAGCCTCAGGAATCTTCTGCTTTTTAAATGTTTAGTAAATTGTATGAGTCCTCCCCTTTGGGCTATTATTTGGACTTTTAACTGCATTTATTTTATATTTTTGTATACCTAGTATATTTTGTTTTTAGTACTTCTTCCAAGCACAAGCTCTTACTTGACAAATAATCAAATAATAGGTGAGAGCGCAAAAGCACAAATATATACGGTATATTACCACTTTCATGAGCTTGATTAGGGTCTACAATAAATACATTATTTACAGACCATAAAATAAAACTCAGACTTTCAAAGCTCCTGCTAAATATCCCATGTAGTTTTCCTAGATCTGTTTCCCAGTAGGAAAAAACTTAGTCAGCTCACTCTACATTAACACAATCCCACAAGCAGGCTCCAAACACATACACAATACACTTTCCTAGAACTTTTCTGCTCTGGTATACCACTTATGGAGACACGCGAGACAAGTCACAAGCAAACACAGCGCAAGCATGTTAATAAATTTGCTTGTGCTGCGCAGAACAAATACTGTTTTTTTTTTCTCATGCAAGAGCAGGGCCCTGTGCATGGGCTGCCCTGGAAGAGCATTGAAATAGCATAACAATAGTGATGACAAAACACCCTCTTTCTGGCTCCGCTCCTTTCTCAGAGGGCCGATGTGATTAAAAAATGCCCAGGCTGAAATTTTTTTCCAGTCCGACCCTGATTATGCCTACTCATGCACATTATAGCTTAGCACCAACAATTGTGGCCAATACCTCCTGGGAAGCTACCTACCCCCTGGAAATTAGTACAAAATCTTTCAGCACTGATAGGAGACTACTGCAGCCAGCTTAGCCACTGCTGAATGGAAGTATGCCTTGACCCACCACCCCTCCTGAGATCACCAGTTTCATCTGCAAGGCCCAGTGAGCCTGGCCGCAGTTTTACCCCTTTGAGCTGCATGTAAGTTTGGAAACAATGCAACAGTCAGGCCTGTCAAACTTCCACAGGCTGCTGAAGCTGAGAGGGAACAGGAGGCACCATATATTAAATGCCTCCTGACAGGGACAATCTGACAGTAGTGATGTCCCGAACGGTTCGCCGAATGGTTCGCCACGGACGGCGAACATATGCGGTAAACTTTGACTCTGTACCTCACAGTCAGCAGACATATTCCAGCCAATCAGCAGCAGACCCTCCCTCCCAGAACCTCCCACCTCCTGGACAGCATCCATTTTACATTCACTGTGAAGCTGCATTCTTATTGAGCTGTCCAGGAGGTGGGAGGATCTGGGAGGGAGGGTCTGCTGCTGATTGGCTGGAATGTGTCTGCTGACTGTGAGGTACAGGGTCAAAGTTTACCGCATATGTTCGCCGTCCGCGGCAAACCGTTCGGGACATCACTATCTGACAGCTTTCTGGACCCCCAGGCAACATTAGATCTTGGGCACTCTTGGGAATTGTTGTAGACAACAAATGATGCAACAATGTGCAATGTCAATCAGCAGTGGCTAAGGCTAGTAAGGTATTGTCATGCATGAAAAAGGGCATTAATTCTCAGGATTATAATATAATTTTACCTCTTTATAAATCACTGGTAAGACCACATCTTGAATATGCTGTGCAATTTTGGGTACCTGTTCTAAAGAAGGATATTATGGCACCAGAAAAAGTGCAGAGACGGTTACAAAATTAATAAAAGGAATGGAACATATCAGCTATAAAAAAAGGTTAACAAATTTAAACCTCTTTAGTTTAGAAAAATGTCGCCTCAGAGGGGATATGATAACATTATACAAATATATCTGGGGCAAATACAAACCATTGTGTGGAAATCTATTCACAAACCGGACTTTACATAGGACACAAGGTCATGCATTTAGTCTGGAAGAAACACGATTTCGTCTAAGGCAAATAAAAGTATTTTTTTACTGTAAGAACAATAAGGATGTGGAATTCTCTGCCTGAAGAAGTGGTTTTATCAGAGTCCATACAGATGTTTAAACAGCAACTAGATGCATACTTGCAAAAACAGAATATTCAAGGATATAATTTTTCAATGCAGGGTAATAGTTTCTTGATCCTAGGATTAATCTGACTGCCATTCTGGGGTCAAGAACTATTTTTTTTCATAGTTTGTTGCAAAATTGGAAATGCTTTCAATTGGGTTTTATTTTGCCTTCTTTTGGATCAACAGCAAAAAACAAATGTGATGGAAGGCCGGACGCAAGTCTCTTTTCAGCTATGTAACTATGTAATCATGACTTATATACAAGTTAAGCCACATAACCAAAAAAATGCCACATAGCATGGATATGTCTATTTGTAGGGACTGTTGATTAGGCATTACTGATGCCACATATTGTATTGAATAATGAAAAAATGCAACCCAGTAAAAAAAGCAATTAAAAGTGACTTACTGAACCACTTAAACCCCCTATGGTTAGTTAATATTAGAAAATATTTCTGGGCTCAGTGGATCAGCTTAGTTTCTGATTATTACAAGCATATCAAGTAAAGGTTATTTGTGCATACCTGTCAAATTTCACATCTTTGCAAGATGTAATTATGATAATCCCAGATGTAGCAGCAAGAATTCCTTGTAGGGAGGAAACTATCCTGAAAAATAAACAGGTTGTTGTTGTTAACATTAGTAGCATATGACTATATGATGCTATCAGGCAGTATTAATTAAAAGAGCTAAACGGGTTCTGTATGATTTCTTTAAATTAAACATGACTTATTTCAATAGATAAATAATAAATAAAATTACAGAACCATACCAAGATGTTAATAAGAATTTCCGATTAATCATTTTATTCATGTTTTATTTTGATGTGCACACACACAAACACACACACACGAACACACAATATGCCCTCCTAAAAGTTTGCAATGACATCCAAACTGGCATGGAACAAGGAGCCCTAACTGGAGCTATTTTCCTTGATTTTGCTAAGGCCTTTGACACAGTAGACCACGACATTCTACTGCACAAACTCAAAAACTCAGGTATTGGTGATCATTCTCTAAACTGGTTTCGATCGTATGTATCGGATCGCTCGCAATATGTGTCCATTTCTGACAGTGACTCCCTCCCTCTCCCAGTCACGTGTGGTGTTCCCCAGGGTTCCATTCTCGGCCCTCTACTATTTACATTATTTATAAATGATCTGCCTAATGTCTGCCAATCCTCAAATGTACACATGTACGCAGATGACACTGTAATCTATGCGAGCAAATCCAATCTACCGCAACTTGAGGCTTTGCTCCAAGACCAGTTTACAGAGGTAGAAAAGTGGATCGCAAAAAACAAACTCTTCCTGAACACTGACAAAACTGTCACAATGATCTTTGGAACAGTACTTAAATTACACAATTCCTACCTATCCATCAAAACAAATTAAAATGGCACACTGACTGCAGTCCACTCTTTCAAATACTTGGGTATGATATTAGACCCCAATCTATCTTTTGGCCTACACATAGAAAAGCTTGCATCTAAACTTTATCCAAAATTAGGTACCCTGTACAGAAACAATGCCTGCCTAAGCCCTACAGTAAAGGAAAAGATTGTACAGCAAATGCTGATGCCAATCATTGATTATGGGGATGTAGTATATGCGTCTGCATCGCAATCCCACATTAATAAATTCAACACATTGTATAACTCGTTCTGCCGATTTGTGCTACAATGTAATTACAGGACCCATCATTGTGACATGCTAAAGGAACTAAACTGGCTATCGCTGGAATCCAGACGCACCCTTCATCTTTCCAGCCTTGTTTTTAAGAGCTTTTCTGGGAAACTCCTACCCTACCTGAACAAAATGCTTTCCCCAGCTGTTCCCACTTTCTATAAGCTCCGATCCAGTACAAGCACTTTACTTAGTCTACCTCAATACAAAAAGAAAGCGGCCCGATCCTCCTTCTCCTACAGAGCACCGCAATTGTGGAACGACCTCCCGCACAATTTAAAATCTTCCCTAAGACTAAAGTCATTTAAGAGATCCCTCTCTACATACCTCAAAACAGAATGCACGTGTCATGGTTGATTATATATTTCCTGCCTGTTCTATGTTAAATTTTAATTTTGTATATATTGTGTATTAATATTGTTTTTGTATTTTGTTGTACCTAATGTAACAATGCAATGATTTGTGGACCCAGGACATACTTGAAAACGAGAGAAATCTCAATGTATCTTTCCTGGTAAAATATTTTATAAATAAATAAATAATAAATAAATAATATAAAGGTCCAGACTGGCTTTTAGTCAAACCAGGAAAATTTGCCAGGTAGTCCACTATGCTCATGGACTCAGGACCAGCTGCAAATAAACCTGTATTCCTAAAGCTATGCTGTCACTGTCCCTAGATCTACAAAGGTGCACTCCTGTCCATTTTGCCATGACTAAGAAATCTAAGTTTTACACATTTTTTCACCATTGAGCCTCCGTGTACACATTCAAATTTCCTATAGGAGAACATTAAATCAATGCTTTAATTTGGGGTCTCTGTGTCATGTGATCGAGTTTTGCTTGATCAGTGCAGTGGAAGTGCTTCCAGTGGCTGTTTGTTAAAAAAACTGAATGCTTTACTTTACATGGCTAAAAGGACAATGCCACTGCACCCAGCCCACTTAATTGAGATGAAGGTGAATGGGTGACTCTAGTGTCCTTTTAATACTGTTAAATGAGGGGAGGAATTGTGATAATTACATCAGCCTTTGTGATACTAGCGAACTTACACAATTAATTCCTCCTGCCCCATCTGTAGCGTGGCATTGCAGAGACTAACTTGTTTTTTGTAGTAGTTCTCTTCAATACTTCGGAAGCCAATTGTGAAAGACAGGGGGATACAGCTTCATATCCCTTGCTTCCTGTCAAAGTGACCTACTGTAAAAAGTAGAATACAACATTCACTAGAGTTAGAGGAAGGGAGAGAAGCCACTAGAAACAGGGTGGGTACTGGAGTTATGAATGGACAGTTGGTTGATAAAGGCATGGAAATAAACACAGTGGCAAGAGCCGTACGCGCATTCTAACAGTCCATAGGAAAGCATTTTTCAATGCTTTCCTATGGACGTTCTGCACGCTGGATGCAAATTTCGCATCAAGCGTCCCAGAAGCGCCTCTAGCGGCTTTCACGAAGACAGCCACTAGAGGTTGGATTAACCCTGCTATTTTAAAACTCTGAAACTGCTATGTTTACATCTGAAAGGTTAAAACCTGGGGAACCTGGCATCCAGACCACTTCATTGAGCTGAAGGGGTCTGGGTGACTATAGTGTCCCTTTAAAAAGACCGGGACTAATACTATTACTACAATTGTAATGGACTGGAATCTGAATAGAGAAATGTAGACAAAATGGGCTAGTTTGGAAAGCAACCCACATATTTAATTTATCAGTATACCTTTATGTAAAACTCACAAATAATGAGAAAAAGTTGTAAACATGCAAGTGTATATTTATGTACTGTAGAAGATATTCTATAAAGAATACACTATGATTTCTACAATTTTCAATAATTGTCTAGGACAGCGTTTCCCAATTGGTGTTCGGCGGAACCCTAGGGTTCCGTGGAACACTAATTGGGATTCAGCCGAAAAATTTGGGAAAAAAATGGCCGTGGGCGGCGAGGTAGCAGTGAGCTCTGATCTCCCTGCTCAGCTCCCTCATGCGCACAGCAGTGATGCCGGAGCCGGAATATGACGTCACTCCGGCTCCAGCATCACCACCCACCTCCACTGCTCACCTGTCTGTCCCTCGCCGCACGCCAAGCTGCAGCCATCCCCACTGGACCACAAGGACCTCATGCCAGCAGCCCCACTGGACCCCAGGCCATCACTCCTAAAGGTAGGGGGGCTGGGTGGAGTAAAATGTAAAAAAAATAAAAAATTGTATGTGTGTCTGTTAGGAAGTTTGTATGTGTTTGTGTGTTTGTCAGTGAGAGTGAATGTGTGCTTGTCAGTGAGTGTATGTGTTTGGCAGTGAGAATGTATCTGTTCTTGTCAATGAAAGTGTATATGTGTTTGTATGTTTGTCTGTAAAAGAGTGTGTGTTTGTCAGTGAGAGTGTATGTGTGTCTGTCAAAGAGTGTGTGTGTGTCAGTGTGTGTATCTGTGTCAAGGTTTCTGTATGTGTAACTGTGTGCATCTAAGTGTGTGTGTATGTGCCAGTATGTATCAGTGTGTTTGTATGTGCCTGTGTGTGTATCTGAGTGTGTCACTGTGTATCTGTGGGTGCAAGTGTGTGTATGTCACTGTGTGTATCTGAGTGTGTATGTGTATTTGTGAGTCAAGGTGTGTGTATCTGTGTGTCAGTGTATCTGTGTGCCAGTGTGCGTGTATTTGTGTGTCAGATACATATACACACTGACACAGAGATACACACACTGGCGCATACAAACACAGATATACACACCTTGACACACACCGGCACATGCAAACACAGATACACACACCTTGACACACAGATACACACAGTGTGTTAAGGTGTGTGTATCTGTGTGCCACTATCTGCCAGTGTGTGTATCTGTCTGTCAGATTCATACACACTGGCACTTACAAACACAGATACACACACCTCGACACACAGATACACACCGTGTGTTAAGGTGTGTGTATCTGTGTGCCACTATCTCCCTGTGTGTGTGTGTGTGTGTGTGTGTATCTGTCTGTCAGATTCATACACACTGGCACATACAAACACAGATACACACACCTTAACACACAGTGTGTTAAGGTGTGTGTATATTTGTGCCACTGTGTGTATCTGTGTGTCAGATTCATACACACTGGCCCATACAAACACAGATACACACACCTTGATACAGAGACACATACAAACACAGATAAACATACTTTGAAACAGACGCACACACCTTGACACACATATACATACATACATACTTACAAACACACACAGATACACACTGTGTGTCAAGGTGTGTGTATCTGTGTCAGTGTGTGCATCTGTGTGCCACTATCTGCCAGTGTGTATCTGTGTGTCAGATTCATACACACTGGCACATACAACACAAATACACACACTATGACACACAGATAGATAGATACATACATACATACACAAAAAAACACACACAGTTACACACTGTGTGTCAAGGTGTGTTTATCTGTCAGTGTGTGTATCTGTGTGCCAGTATCTGCCAGTGTGTGTATCTGTGTATCAGATTCATACACACTGGCACATACAAACACACACACACACACACACACACATACACTGTGTGTTTATCTGTGTGTCAGATATACAACTGGCACATACAAGCACAGATATACACACACCGGCACATTTAAAAAAACAAACAAAAAAACAGCGCAATTGAATTTTTTTTTCTTTCGGGGGGTTCAATGATGTTGATACACTATGTCAAAGGGTTCCACGGGAAAAATTAATTGGGAAACCCTGGTCTAGGACACTTGCAAAATAAACAAAGCATAATTAAAAATCCCTGTTATTGGGGACCTTACAGCAATGCCAGATTATCTAACAGATTTGAAAATTGGTGTAGAGGAAGAACAGTCAACACAGTGCAGCTGAAAAAAGAACAGATCCCAAAGGCTGGTTGCTTATGACATATTTCCTTTCTAGAAGGACAAAACATGAGGACAAGTCCACTGAATATCTAGGTGTATTAGTTATTTGCATTAATATAGCGACAACCTATTCTGCAGCACTTTACAACATTATAAAGGGGGTAATTTAACGATAAATTAGACAATTGCAAAATGTTACAGGAACAGTAGGTTGATGAGGACCCTGCTTGAGTTAATGTTATTCGTACCAGGAAAAAAGGTATCTGCCCAGCTGACAGATGTCTGTATTACAAATAAACAATTTATTAAAGAAATTATTTTATCTAAAAATACATTGCTCAATGTTTTTCATACTTTCAACTATGCTATCATAGTAGTGTTGCTCACAGCTCCAGTATCCTTGCATCCTTGGTATAAATATAGTACAGCTGTAGATCTAATTTGAGAGATTTTACCTTGTCTCCAAGCTACACAGTACTGTAGACACCTAGTGATCTCATTCTGAAATGACTCACTAGAAAAAAATTATCCCGGTGCTTATTTGTTTATATTACACTATGCAAGCAATACTTGTTTAGTGGCACTGGTCACCACCTTTACCCACCAGGTATAAGTTGTATGCTCTTATTCTCTTCTTCCATTTTTTTTGTAGTGGTCTGCTTTGAAGAACTTCTGAAAACAATGCCACTAGTCTGTGTGTGTCGTTGTCATATAAGGAGGTGTATTGTCATACACCAGCCCTTCAAAGTCCAAAGCTCTAGCCTAAGTAAGTTGTTATTGCAATGTAGTTACTTGGCTATAGTTCAGTTGTTTCTGTCTACCCAATTCATTTTACATGACTGAACCTAGAGACACAGAAAACTCACTCTAATGCATGTTGTGTACTTGCAATGGGAGAGGCAAATGTTTATGGTCCTACAGTAATTTTCCATGTGGGAATACATTCATATTTATGCACAAAAACTTGGTAGGCTTGGGTTCTACTGTATAAGAAGGGAGTGTATAAGGGGCACTCCACTGCCCAGATACAAAATAAATAAAAATCACTGTTTAGTAGACATACCACAAAATTAAAAAAAAATGCCAGCATTTAATTGAGCATTTTATCACAGGAGTTATGCAATCTAAAAACAAATTTCAAAAACGGCAGATCTCTTGTCTGCTGCCTTTGCAAGCCCTCCTCTTCTAACCTTACCCAGACTTTCTGTGTCTGTGCAATCACAGACATCCCAATGCAGTTCAATGAGAAGTCTTTGCAAGGCGGGTGCTCGGATCAATGCTGCCTCTTGAGTTTAGCTCCACTGAGCTAACTAAACCAGGAAGTAATAGGAGTGGTTTTCCGATTGAAAGCTAGGGGGTGTAACCAGGTTACTTTATAAAAGTGTCAATTTATATTGAATTCTGCACTTTTTCCAAAATAAAAAAATGGGACACATTCTGCACACATAAGGCTTTTCAGCAAGCTAACATGCTTTAGGGGTCTGCTGTGTCCCTTTAAGGAATATACACATGGTTGTTGACTAAAGTGTGGACTGCTGGAAATTGAAAGTGAATTGTAATCTAAAATTATGAAGCTAAAAATGTTATAGTAACATTTGAATTTGCTTCAAATTCACAAGCTTTATGTTTCAAGCATTTAGCCTGTCTAGACAAGGAAATGATCAGCTTAGGATATGCTGAGTTTCTCTCACAAATTTCTGCCCAGCAAAGATTTATGGGCATTGCATGGGTTTCTGGAAGTTATAGTTCAGTTATCAGCTTTATAGTTTAAAAGTAGTTAGCAAAAACCCTTATTGTGCTTTTTTTAATACAAAATTGAGCATGCAAAAACTGATTTCATCCAAAACATATAGTTCATAAAAGTTATGTAGGTGCCTATGGTGTCACTTTAATTTATTTAACCAGCTCTTGGGAGTTACCTCCAATGCCTGGCCTGTAAGATTAGATTGATGGTGGCTATGGAACCCAACAGGAGCAACCAAAATTATACAGTTTATAAAAGACGACACCTCAGGTTATTTAACAAGGATTTTTTTTTTTACAATTTCCATTCCTCCATTTTATGATCAATCTCTGTCAAAATGGCAGGTAATACTTTTTTTCATGGCAAAACTATTTATTTTCAGTTCTGCCCCAAGTAACAATGCCACCATAGGATTGTCTTTTTTTTTAAATATATGCCAGAAGAAATTAGTTATATGCTAACTTCAGTTTTCAAAATTAGCATTTTGTTGGGTTAATCGGCCTGACCATTGTCACAGTTTCTGGACTTTAGCAACCCTATATTTGAAGTAACCCTCCCCCCAAGGAAGGTTTGTGATTTACCTGACCCATTATTGGTTATTAAAGGGTTAATGTTGGATTATGTTTAATGTAGCAAACTGTGCTTTGAGAGTTCTGTGCGAATTATAAGGGCTTTTCTGACTATTATTTCATCTTGGCTTAGCACTTTAAAATGTGTGAAACTGTTTACTTTCAACTTTTGTTTGACCTTAGAATGAATGCGTCTATTTGTACATGCTATCAACGCATAACAATAGTCACCAGGTGAGATTCAAATCCAGGTGCAGGTATTTTATTTTACTATTGCATTTCCCACATGGAAACAAAGGAACAGGAACAGTACACAACTGCAAATTGTGGAAAGACAATATAAAATGTCATTTTCACTATAACACAATAATGCAATAAGGCTCTACCGGTTTAACTGGATGAAGGAACATGTGAATCTATTACTACTGGTTCCTACAATTACTAATATCCAGCACTGACAGTTTGGTAGGACCCTGTTGTATTGGCTTTTAAAGTTGACCAAAAAGCAACATAAAGTACTGAGGACAAGCCTCTTCCATAAATTATAAAAAGAAATCTGTACACTGTACTAGGTTAATAGATATGAAATATCTTACTATTGGGATGGTGCATAGAGTTAAGTACATATATACATACACATGCTCCCACAATGCACTCTGCTATTACTATACTGGGGCATGCAGGTGTGCCAATGTTTGCTCTAAACCACTATTTGAAATAGACTGATTTGGTCCAAACGTTGCAGCTGGACACTTTAGTTCCAATAAATTTGCCTATCTATACCTTGGTAGTGCCTGAACCATTTTCTCTCTTCTGTGACTACAATATATATATACCAACTGCATAAGTCTCAAAGATAACAGCTATCAACTATCTTCAGAGCTATCTAAAAAGTGGGTATACACTTGGCTATCATCTCTGGCTACAAATACACACTGTTTATAGATTAAATTCCTACAGTATCTCCCCTCTAATAGTGAAAGGAGGCACAGGATTAACGTTTCAGTCCTCTTAGGAACTTTCTTCAGGATCAAATAACACACACTTTCTTCAGGATCAAATAACACACATTATTGTTATCTGATCCTTAAGAAAGCCCCTAAGAGGACTGAAACATTGATCTACATCTATATGTTGGAATAAAGAAAACTCTACTAAGAAAGACCGTGAGTGCAGCCCATTTGTGTTTTATATATATCTCAGCAAATTATTGTGTAATCAGATAAATAGGCTCAAAGAGTATTTATCTTTAATTACTCTTGGACCATTACATATTACATTCTATTTTTTTAAATTTGTTTGCCATCTTTTTTAAATGTTAACAATTGTTTCAAGTTTACATGCTATCCCCTTTCTTGTATTATTTCTGAAAGGGTCTGCAATATTAAACTACCATTGCCTTGCAGTAAGTGGGACAAAATACATAAATACAACAGTATACCATCCTGTGTCTGGTTATTAGTAAGGCACCTGATGGCATTTGTAAAAACATGAAATCCATACATTAGGCATCTAATGTGACAACATTTTTAGTTGTTGAGTTGCACTACATTTATTAAGTTTTCAGTAATCAGTAGATCCATTCTCCAACACGCTTGTTATCTTATTGTATTAGCTCTATATAATAGACCTCACTAACATTCTCTGCTGAGTAAATAATGTGTATTTATCTTTACACCACAAGGTGAAGGACTTCCAAGGGCTTCCTTCAATAGTGCCTGACTATACCTGCCTACACCCTATCAGCTAATGGCTTTCAGTGGTTGCAGCATAGTGATAATATGGAGTTATTCACAATGTTTGAGCTCAAGGAATTTGCACCAACATATACTGTGGTAATCTCCCACTACAAGACTTCCAAGCATTCTCTGTATCATCAGAGGACATTTGAGGGCAGTGTGACGAGTAGGGTTTGCACCATTGTTTCAGTATAGTTTTTCCAAATACACTAAATTCAAAACATTTTATAGAATACAGAGCTGTACATTTTTATTGATAAGCAATTTTTCTAACAGAAAAAGATAAAGAAATATCTGGCCCCATATATAATCAACAGAGTTAAATAAAAATGACATAAAATTAGTCTTTATTGAAAAGCTCCTAAAAGCAACACTCCAGGCACTCCAGTGGCATCCAGCATTTGAAACTGACATGCAAGAAGTTCGGAGTTTCAACCCGTAGCTTTATATTCATAACAAATTATGCACCTTTTTATGAATAGGGAGCTGTATGAATGCCTATAGCAGAATAGTTCACTTTTGATATCTACTAACACAATCTTGGTCGACAGAAATAAATAAATAAAGAATATATGCATAATAGTATTATGTATGGCTTTGGTATAATTAATAAATATATTGTGTCATATGAAGATTGTTATGTTGGTTAACCATTGTGGAGGGGACGTTTTTTTGTCTGCATCCTATTACGCACATGGTAATAAATTTCTGTGTGAAACATCACTAACCCAAGTCCAGAAAAATGCACAATATTTTACGTTCACAACTGCTTCAGTCCTGCTTAATTTTATGTTGAAATTGGAATATTTTCTATGGCAAATTCTATGTATCAATTATATATATGTAATATTTACTCAAGTGAACCAAATAAATTAACTGACAATCTAGAGATCAACAATACCACAAGTTGAGATAATTACCACACACAAAGTCAGCTGAGGTAACTAGTGTTTTAGATCAAGTACATTACATTTTCTTCGATGTTTTACTTGATAAATGTTGATCCAGCTAAACAAAATACTTAAAAAAAAAACCCAAAACTTCAACATCTCTAAAGCACGTTAACTTGCTGAAGTGGATTTATGTGTGAAGATTGTGCTCGGAACAGTTTTTGTTAAATTGCTCCCAAATACCTGGATTTTAAAAAACAACAAAAAAACAGGTGATGGTTGAAACTTTGCCAGTCCAAGGCTTGAAATCTGAATTTTTCTTTATTTTTTTGTCAATCTTTATTTTTGAAGTGAAAGCGATTACATAGAAGCGTGCAGTGCCACAACAACATCTGCATGCAGTTCAACTGTTAACATATATTCACATTGGTATGGCATACTGTAGAGCACATTTGCACATTTTTGTAATAAAGGGAAAATAAATGAGAGATTGCAAGAGTACAAAAGTGGCTGATATATATCAAGCTTTTCTAGCGAGTGGTCCTAAGTAAGTTCCAGCAGTACTACTCGTGGCTAATTAAGAGTGTGTTAGCGTAGCAGGTGTGGGTGTAAAGGTAAGAGTAAGCTGTGGTATATCAAATTTGAGTAACTGGGAAATAATATTGCTGATGCATATAACACGAGCAAGATAAACATAGCGTAGAGTAGCAAGACAACTCGGCTAGCAGGAGTAACAGGATTAGGAGATCATCCTATAATTACGCGCTCATGGAGCTATGTCCCAGGTTCATTAATTGTACCCGAGGTAGCGGGGCGATTTAAGCATGTCTAAATCAGGTAGGCCCTTCGTTGTCTAGTAAGAGTGTGTGTTAGCTAAATATGTGGGTGGCCCTCTGATGTCGTTCAAACAATAGCATCAGGAGCATTATAATATAACATTGAAGAGTTATTCGGTGCATAGAACAAGATTGCCTACGGAGCAATCTGAAGTGCAATTGTAAACTTAAAGGGAATAGGTCATATCATTAAACAAGCAACGATATGTAAGCACCGTCATATTCAGGTTACGGAGTCCCGTTCCCCTCCAGGAATAAAAGGAGGGATGTTGTCAACATCTTTTTCTGGATATTGGATTGTTTTATACATAATTAATGATTGCTGCTGATTTCTAAGATCTCTATTATCATAAGTGTTACACTTTTTAACAAACCCATTTAGCGCTATCCACTACTTTGGGTAAGATGTTGTCAACATCCCAGACTCGTCGAAAAGGTGTCGCCGGATCCGGCATTGGAAAGCCCAGGGCCTGTAGAAATTGCAGACCATCCGAAGGGTTAGTAGCTTTGAAGGATTTTCCATCTTTGGAGCATACTAGCGCTCTTGGGTTAGTCCATCTGTAAGGAAGGCCAGCAGTTTGTAGGGGCTGCGTGATAGGGCGCATTGTTTTTCGCCACAAGAGTGTGGCCTTGCTTAGATCCCGGTAGAAGGTAAGTGAGTGAGTCTCGAACTGGAGTGGGGTTTTCCCCCGCAGCGCCTGTAACAGCCTTTGTTTCATCGCATAGAACCGGCAGCAGAGTATAATGTCCCTGGGGACAGTATTTGGCGTTTGCAAGAATGTTGCAGTGTGATAGAGTCCGTCATAAGCTAACTGTTTAGCGTTTTTGGCTGGGAGGATAGATGCGATAAGTCGCCTGATGAGATGTGGTAGCTCGTCAGTGGCTACGGAGTCATCCACAACCCAAATTTTGACGTTCTTATGTCTGCTCTTGTCTTCAAGTGAATCCATTCTGGCAGCTAGTTAAGAGTGAGAAGTTTGCAGGTGCTGAATTGATTCCTTTTGAGTGGTCATGCTTTGCTTCAGGTCAGCAGTGTCCTCCTCAGAGGCGTTCTGTGACTGCTTGTAGTTCAGTTTTAAGCAGGTTGATCTCTGCAAAGAACATGTCCTGGAAGTGTGCCAGTAGGTCATGTATATCCTGCCTTGTGGTTGTGCTCCAGGACTTGGGTAGTGGGTGGTTGTGCTCCAGGCGCAGCCGTCTCCACTACTGGGCTGGGAGTAGTCTCCTGCCGGGGGGTGTGAAGTCTCCCGAGTCGAGGCCAGCATCTGGCTATTGTGGTTTGAGGCAGCCGCGGCCAGAGCCGGCTTCTGGGATTTGCGGACCATCGTGGATTCTGGTATGCCCCAAGGTAGGTAAATAGGCTGCTTGTGGGGCCGAGTCAAAGTCGTCCCCGTCCCAGGGGGTAATGTGCGGCAGCTGCGGGATTCCTGCCCGGTAGGCCTGAGGCACTCTGCGCTGGGTTTTAGTGCCGAAGTGTATAAAAAAGGTATCCATGGGTCCGGTTCCCAGTACAAAGATTGCTGTTGCGTCCCTGGATGGAGGGTGGTTCGCATGTTAAGGGCTACAGATCAATTTTGCTAGGAGAAACTGGATGAAATGGCATCTGCTCCTGAACGCTGCCGCAATCTAAATTTTGACCACATACAATTTTTTATTTTTTTTGGAGAAATATAGATCATGGCCTTTTTAAAAAAAAACTAATTATGACAGCAGAGTGAGTATCTATTGTTTTGATCAGAAAGTTGTTCATTGCCTTTTATCAATAATTGCACCGTGTTATGTTACTGACATTAACTTGAGCAGCGTTTATTCCCCATAACACAATTATGTTGGAATGTTATCCTTTTGGATTATCTTTATAGATTTGATGCTTACCAGGAGCTGCAGATGTTTATTTGAAGATTCATTTCTGACTGGTTGTTTAGAAAGAATTGTCCAAGGTACGCATGTACCTTTTCCTTCAATTTACTTTTGTGTAACAGAACCAGATCTGCTTCCAATTAACCTATTTATTTGCCCTGTGTTCTACATACAAAGTTTTTGTTTTAAACTTCCATTGAAGAAGGAAGCATTCAATGTCTTTAGTTTGCCACAGATAATTGTATTTGTTTTTAATTTGAAAAGATTTCTGTTTTGGATGTTACTTTTATTTGATTTTTTCCCCCACTTTTTATGCATACTATTTTTATGGTCTGTAATGGAAGCTACAGTGTCCACCACTTACTACCAATCTCACGTGGCTTAGCTATTGGTCTTTATATTGCACAGGCCATGGTGTTTACCAACTGTACTGCTCATAGTGGCAGGCGATTATTACCAAGTGACAGGGCTATAAATGACTAATGTCTAGAAGAGAGACAATATTTACAATCTCCTTTAATTGCAATGGCAGATCGACAGCCAACTTACAGTCTTATTCTACCTAATTTATCTAGAGAACTGTAGTGATTACGGTGCTTGAAGTGTTCATTTAAACTGTGAATTTGGCCCACGTTAGTGGAATGGGAACATTTCTCAATTCAAACTATTTTCTGTCTTGCTAATTTTACTTAAATCGCGTAATCTGGTTACATTTATCATAATTTATTTGGTAAACAACTAGCTTATCAGATGAACCATTTTAAAATGTTTACCATCTTACACAATGTTTTTTCTTTTGTATTTCACAATGAATGTATATATATCACATCTAAAATTAGTGTTGAGTACCTAAAAGAATAAAGACAAATCTGTAAATAATGTCACACAACACCGAGGCGATTATTCATCCAAAATAAACACAAAAACAAACTAAATAAATGAAATCCAAAACTTAATTCTGCAAGTAACGGTATGAATGTCTGGGAGTTTTAAGTGCAATTCTAGTATACTCAGTTACCGCTTGGGTTAAAATGCTCAGCAGTTTAAACTAGGAATAGATCTCACGTTCAAAGAATGGGTAAGGAGTCTGCTCCACACCTAACCAACAAAGGTTTAAAATAATATCAGGAAGTATTACTTTACTGAGAGGGTAGTGGATGCATGGAATAGCCTTCCAGCTGAAGTGGTAGAGGTTAACACAGTAAAGGAGTTTAAGCATGTATGGGATAGGCATAAGGCTATCCTAACTATAAGATAAGGCTAGGGACTAATGAAAGTTTTTAGGAAATTGGGCAGACTAGATGGGCCGAATGGTTCTTATCTCCTGTCACATTCTATGTTTCTATGTTTCTATGTTTCTCACCCGAAAAGTCCTTTTAGATGCCAGAGAAAGTATCAGAAGTTTGCCTCAAAGTTAATTTTTAAAAAAATTTACGTGAATTATACACTTACATAGAATGTGACGGCAGATAAGAACCATTCGGCCTATCTAGTCTGCCCAATTTTCAAAATACTTTCATTAGTCCCTGGCCTTATCTTATAGTTAGGATAGCCTTATGCCTATCCCATGCATGCTTAAACTCCTTTACTGTGTTAACCTCTACCACTTCAGCTGGAAGGCTATTCCATCTGTCCACTACCCTCTCTGTAAAGTAGAACTTCCTACAATTATTTTTAAACCTTTGCCCCTCTAAATTAAGACTATGTCCTCTTGTTTTGGTAGTTTTTCTTCTTTTAAAAATGGTCTCCTCCTTTAATGTATTTAAATGTTTCTATCATATCCCCCTGTCTTGTCTTTCCTCCAAGCTATACATGTTAAGATCCTTTAATCTTTCCTGGTAAGTTTTATCCTGAAATCCACAAACCAGTTTAGTAGCCCTTCTCTGAACTCTTTCCGAAGTATCAATATCCTTCTGAAGATACAGTGTCGAGTACTGCATACAATACTCCAAGTGAGGTCTCACCAGTGTTCTGTACAAAAGGCATGAGCACTTCTCTTTTTCTACTGCTAATACCACTCGCTCAAGCATTCTGCTAGCATTTCCTGCTGCTCTATTACATTGTCTGCCTACTTTTACGTCATCAGAAATTATTACCCCCAAATCCCTTTCCTCAGATGTTGAGGCTAGTAGGGTTTGAAATATTCTATAGTCTGCCTTTGGGTTTTTACACCCAAGATGCATTATCTGCACTTATCCACATTAAATGTCATTTGCCACAGCTCTAACCATTTTTCCAATTTACCTAAATCATTGGCTTATTTTCTTTTTATAGTTACAAATATTTTAATGCCTTTATAATACATTTTAAATGTCACTTTCTTTAAAAACATACTCTCAAGACTTCTTGATATTGTATGAAGATGACATCACATAAGGTAACATGCATGATGTCATCACTACATATAAACCAAACTACAAGGTAGTGTGGCCTGTTTATGTGGCCAACAAATAGGCAGTGAATGTAGGTGGCAAGTATTGTAAGATACTGAATTTCACATCAATCATGTTTCAAGCATACAAGGAATTTTAGCACGGGTATCTTTAAAACAACAGAATACAGATCTTTCAATATGTTTAATATTTATTACTTCCTTAAACTCAACTTGTTTTAAAACTGAAATTCTGGTCTTTCCTCCTTCAAGTGTTGATACTCCTGTGTCTGTCTGTCTCCAGGTCAATGGTGCTACCATCAGCTCCACCACGCAGGCTCGTTGACTCCGACCTCTCCTTCAAGCCTCATGTTCAATCTATCGCCAAATCCTGTCATTTCCATCTCAAAAACATTGCGCGCATCCGACCCTACTTAACGCCAGATGCGACTAAGGTGCTGGTCCATTCCACTGTCCTTTCTCGCCTTGACTACCGTAATCCGCTTCTCAGTGGTCTTAAGTGCTCCCAACTTGCGCAGTTACAGTCCATAATGAATGCGGCGGCAAGGCTCTTCTTCCTGTACGCCTGCACCTCCCACGCCTCACCCTTCTGTCAGTCCCTACATTGGCTTCCTGTAAGATATAGGGCTCAATTTAACATTCTGGTTCTTGCTTTCAAATCTCTAGATAATGCTGCTCCCACCTATCACACAAGTAAGTCCCATCTAGGCCCTTATGCATCGCTGAAGACTTATGTCTATCTTCTGTCCGTACTCCCACTTCCGATGCTCGCCTTCAAGACTTCTCAAGGACTGCAATGTTCCTGTGGAACTTGCTTCCCTCCTCCATTAGATGCTCACCCAGTCTCCACTCCTTCAAAAAATCATTAAAAACCCACTTCTTCATAAAAGCGTATCAATTAAACTGTTAATAGCTCCCGACTGATTCCTCTCTTGCAACTGTCATTAGTCTAATACTATCCTTACCTTTTGTGTTACTTTACTCCACTCCATCTAGCATGTAAGCTCGTTGAGCAGGGCCCTCAACCCCTCTCTTCCTGTGTGTCCAACTTGACTGGTTACAACTACATGTTTGTTCGTCCACCCCCTGTAAAGCGCTGCAGAATTTTTTGGCACTATATAAATAATAACATAATAATAATAATAATAATAATAATAATAATAGCTGACTTGAGGTGATGATAAGCATAAATATTCAAGTATACAACACTGTGAATTGGCCTTAGGCCCATAAAAATTTTTTTCAAATTAAAGCGACACTTCAAGTAGCCTAACTACTAAAGTGCTTTGTAGTGCTCATGGTACCAGGAGTGTCTTGACTCCCCTCCATTGTAAGAATTCAAAATTTTTCCAATGGCTTCACTTGTTACCTGGTATTTGTCAAGCGCTGTACCCCCATCGCCACTAGAATCACTGGAAGCCAGTTCTTGCGCAATTAAACTGTGCTAGAAAGAGCAATTAGCTGACGATCCCTGCTTAGGAACTTCTGACTCTTAGAAGTATAGGCTGTGAGTGATGTCCAGTGGTCCCCAGCTCAACTATTCAACAACACTTTGACTCCATATAACAGGGGGTAGCTGATTGCTTCAGCTGTAGGTTTTGGTGTTTAGAGTGTCTCTTTAATTTGAGAAATAATTTATATTTTTTCTAAAAAGAGAGATGTGTAACATCTCAATGAAATGCTCTGGATGCATGTTCCTGTAGTTTTAACCTTGCAGGTTTTGAAGAAACTGCAATGCTGCAGGGTTAAACACATCTCTTGTGGTTGTCTTCCTGACATCCACTAGAGGTGCTTGCTGAGAAACAATCTAGTAAAACTTGGTCATGGGACGTTGCAGCTCATAGGAAAACATTAAATTCAACGCTTTCCTTTGAGAAGCATTTGGATGCACACGTGGCATTTACCGTGCATGCACATCAGTACCAAATGTTCCTCAATATGGAGAGTTTCATTAGACCATCTGCAAGAGACCCTGTGTGACGTCACAGGTGGAAGAGAGGCCGGCAATGCAGAGGGAGTCATGGAGCTGGAGAAAAGATAAGTAAAAACTTTCTTTCTAGATTTGTTACTATATTTAAAAACTTTAAAACCATAAACATGTTTGTGTTTCTAAAATAAGCCAGTTTTGTTTACATCCCCTTCAAATACAAAACTGGAACTATTGCTTTGGGAAAGTGCCCACGTCATATAATTTTATTACATGTCATGCAATTTAGTCCTGTTGTAAATCTTCCAATATTTGCCAAAACTGACGTGTGCTTTTTGTTATTTTCCCACCCTGACCAAGCTATAATGAAGTTGATATCAGACGTACAGGATAATATTGTGAGCAGTTATTCTAGAATTTTCCACTTTAAAGGACAACTATCACCTCATAACTATTTTTTAATATAATCAAGTCTTAAAAAAAGGGGCCCAGGGGAAGGAAGCAGCTCTAGTGGGTCAGGAAGACAGTCGGGTAAACATTGCTGTTTCTACAAAACGGAAGAGCAAAAACTATAAGACAACTTCACCCAGACCACTTAATTGAGAAAAAGTGGACTGGGTGCCTTTTGGGGTCCTGTAATGTTGTGTAGTGCTTTCTGAACAAATAAACACCTAATGCTGAAATAAGCAGCTTCAAACATTATTTTCTCTTCTGCACAGTACTACATGAGCAAGAATACAACTGCATATAATGATGCAATACTATTTTAAAGCGTGTTTCTTATGTCAGTTACACAATCATATTTTACACAATTTTATACAAACCAGCGGTTGATATAAAAATAGGTTTGAAACCCCATAAGGACATGTGACTTACCGGTACAGTCACTGAAAACTGTTCCTAGAGGATGGGTAGAAAAAGAAGTAATAAAAGAGATACAACACCTGGTATTTTTAGATCAGGTGTTTTATTCAACCATTATTTGGACTGAGCAACATTTTGGCCCGCCAAAGAGTTCATGTCAAATCTGAGTATCAGCGTATATCCACATACAACCTACAGTTTAAATTAACTCCTGATCCAGGTGCTACTTTTAATGTGCTGGACAATGCACCCAGTTTGCTTATACAGAGTGCCAGTCTTTATTACCGCTGCTACCTACCGTGACAGCTTCCGCACATCCCAGATATGTATAAGATCTTCAGGTAAATGCTGTTATGGATTGATCTGGGATGGGAGCTGTCAGTATCAGCCACTTACCGGGCATCTTTTTGGCATACCGTGGCTTTCAGAGCACATTTCATGCCATGAATTGATGATCAACACGCATCATTGGCAATGCAATGTGTCTGCACTCCAAGCCTTCCTGCATTCTCACAGCTGGTTGTGAGTGAGATGGGATGCTTGGAGTTTAGCAAAGAATGCCTTAAGTGCAACACCCCCATAAAAACTAATTAACAACTTGATAATTGTATAACTCAGAAAGCAAAGGGTTATTTATTTTTAATAAGCTCCAATTCTCCCCCTCATTCACTTAACAGGAGGGAGGATTTTAGTTAGAAAAATAAACATAACTAATCTACTCTGCAGAGGTAAATGTTCTAAGGGAGATGAAATTTAATTTTTTTATTTTTTTTTTACAAGAGGTGATAAATATCAATTATACAGTTTGTCCACATGACCGTTATCAGGAACCTTGATAACCTTGATTAAACTGGGTAATTGCTTAAACATTATTGTTAATCCATTGACATATACACAATGAAGATAAGTTTGAGTTTTAGCATTTTTAGATTGAGGTCAGCAGATCAGTTTTATATTTTAGCAGTTCTAATTCAAGTTATATCTAAAGATGGGCATTTGAATTTCTAGATCCTCCAAGACATATGAGATAGTATGAGCATTTCACAGCATTCACACAAAGCCGAATAATGTAGGCCATATTTATTCATCAATAATTTGACAAGTATTCTGCCATCCGTAAGATTTTGTTTGGCCAAAAAGAACATTCTTTGCATTTAGCCAAATTAATGTTAGAATTTCACTTCAGCAGTCCACAGAACATTGTGAACTATTCTGATCAATACACTACTAATCACTACAATACTGACAGACTGTTACAAAATGTAGAACTAACCATTTAAAGGTACAGACTCAGAAACAAAATATGTTCATGTTAAAGAAACACTCCTGACATCATAACAATTTCAGCTCTTTAAAGTGGCTATGATGGCTAAAGTACTATAGCACCATCCCCTGAGTGGCAGACGGGGGCCCTAAATAACAATAAGGGGTGGGGACCTATTGTACCCCCCCGGCCCCCACCCCTGAGCGGCGGGTGGGGGCCCTAAATAACAATAGAGGGGGAACCTATTGCCCCCCCCTCCCCCTCCACCCCTTGCGCAAAACCTAGGCACAGAAAAAATAATCAGCCGGAAAAAAAACCACCTTTCGCTAAAAATTAATCCATCTTCACCCGGCGAGGGCATGGTGCAGACTTAACTCCACAGGGCGGGGGAAAGCTTTGTAAAGCCTTCACACGCCATGCAATTTGACTCAGAGCACTCTGATTGGTTGGCTTGGAATCCAACCAATCAGAGTGCTAGTCATTTTACAAAACGTGGGAAAGTTCTTTGGAATTTTCCCAGGTTGTGTAAATGACTCAGAGCAATCTGATTGGTTGGCTTGGAATAGATGAAATTCCATTTGCATGCCCAAGTGTTTAACTGGGCATGCGCGGGAATTTCACAGTGCTATCTAGGCAGATGACGTGTCCCACATGGACTTCATCTACCCACACAAAGATGGCAGCGCCCAGGACCTAGGTCAGGGCAGAAATGAAAGATTAAAAACTAGATAATATGGTGGGCTTAGGGGCATTTGGAGGTGACTAGAGGGACAATTAGATGTAGTGGAGTCGGAAGGGGGGGTTAAAAAACAAAACAGGATTCGGCCATGACAGTTCTGCTTTAACAACAAACCAAGGGACAACATCATCATTTAAAAAAGATTATGTGGTTATGAGATCTGGATTGTTCCCTCTAGGAATTGATTTTGTGTCACAAATGCAGCTCATGCACCCTTGCAAATGCAAAAAAGGACCATTTTTAGGAAAACAGCACTCTCTACAGATTGCCATTTTCACCCCTACTACCTATGGCTGTCAAAAAGCCACTAGGTGCACCAGATTGACATCCCTTTGTTGAATCTACATGTAGTCCATTAACATGTAAAGTATGACGTGACCTGCTGTGGGCGTCCAGTGGTGTTCTAGAAGAAGCATTGGATTCAGTACTTAGAGAAGCAATGGACTGACAGATCGCAGCAACCGCTGTGCATGCACGGTGTGTTCTCACTTCTTCTATGAGAGGCATCTATCTGACTGGATAAAAATCATCAGGAATGATACAGGCTGCAGTGAGGAGTGTGTCTCCTTAATATAATAAGGCTAATTTAAAGTAAGCTATTTTTAACAACTAGGACAACATTGTGATATAAATTGCTGTATTTAAAAACCACACCTTCATACAATTTACAGTGTAGTGGCAGTGAAATCTGGATTAGTATTTTAGCATTAGTATGTAGCATGCAGGCACTGATTTCACCACTGTCATTTGTATGAATGAAGCGGAAACTGAATTGCAAAATTTAGGCTAAAATAGCCAACCTGTGCCTATAGTGGAGTAGGAGCTCTTTCCCCCCACATTAGCTATTATTGCCTAAATTGTGCAATGCAACTATACTCACCATCAAGCCCAGATGGTAATGGTAATATCCCAGCTAAAATGTCTGGGAAAACTTCCCAATCTCTGCTATAGTCACAGCTGGGCTGTTTTAGTCTAAATATTGCCATTTGGATGTTGATTCGCAGCAAGAGTTTACTGTATAATAAGCCCATTGGATTATGAATGAAATACACCGAGCACAAATAATATATACACTTACAATGCCACACAGACAGACAGACTGATATCCACCCTGTTCCCTACTAATGGGGTGAAGGTATGCCCCCCTCCCCCCCGGTATTAATGATCACCTTAAGGACAAAACTTCTGCAATAAAAGGGAATCATGGCATGTGTCCGGCTTAAGGGGTTAATGCAGATGCCCTTCTCTCCCTGCAGGATGCCCTGATGGCTCCGCCCAGCACTGACCCCCAGCACAGAGCATGCAATGCCCGATACCCTGTGCCCCCCCATAGCTGCCCTGCTCGGTCCATACCCGACTCTCTCCGCGGAGGGAGCAGGAAGCCCGGGGGCATTCATGGCATGGCACGGGCTCTTACCTGGCACTGATGAGCGAGCACTCCCCCTCTGTCCAGCCGGGCCCGGCCCAGTGGGCACAGCGTTTAAGCACGAGGTAGAGCCCCGGGAAGAAGAGCGAGCCAGCTGCCAGGACTTGCCACATCGCGCCCGCTGCCACAGCAACTAGTGCAGAGCCAGCGGGAGGCCACGCCCCCAATACTCACATCGCCAGCAAGCACACCACGCCCACCCGTCTGACTGACACTGCCCGGCCACGCCCCACCTCTCTAGTCGGCGACTCATTATACCACACCTACCCGACTGACTGACACTGCCCGGCCACGCCCCCAACTCATTCATATCGCCAGCTCCCACACCACGCCCCCCCGTCTGAGTGACACTGCATGGTCACGCCCCATCAGAACCCTGGCTGCTGCCTGTAGCTGAGCGGGTGCTTCCAGTCACACATATAGGAGGGTGCTGAGCCTGGCACATCCTGTCTGTATCACAGCGCACACTGACAATGTGTTACTACAGCGCTCTGAATGCTCATACAGGCTGTGAGAGGAGGGAGGCTGAGGGTGGCTGAAAGGTCAATAAAGCATCCCTGCTTATCTCCCCTGCATGTCAAATCATTAACCCTTTATTCTCTATATAAACAGCAGGCAGCAGTCCCTGTAATACCCATTACAATCAATAAAAAATAAAGTCTACCTTTCTTCTAAGCATCATCAGTCTGTTCTCTTATTATCCATTTTATTGCCACCGACAAATACTGCATTTCTTTCCCTCACATTATTAGATAATGTTTATTATTTATTTAGTACCACAGAAATAATATAAGAAACCTTTTGTCATCTCCATGGGATTGAGATGGCTTCTCATGACAATCCCTGGAAGTGAAAGCATTAATACATACACATTTTGACAGATGTTTCTTTATGGACTTTTCCATATCCAGAGATTTCCTGTACTATCAGTCCCATGGGGATGATGTAATCTGGTGATTCCTACAGGACTGAAAAGATTAATAAAGACATCTATCGGTAGAAGTACATATTGCACTGAAAGGGTTTAGACATACATAATATATATTATATATGTATGTCCTTGGACAAGACCAGGGCCACCATCATATTTTTTGTGGCCCCATGCAAAGCAAAACACTCAGATTACAAGCTGAGATGCACACTCACAGAGATACCCCGACATGCTCAAAGTCACACATAAATGATAAAAAAAATAATAATAATTAAGACTCGCTATAATAAAGTCATGGACCCGGCAGCAGTTAGCCAAGGATTCCCGCTACCTTACAACAATATCAAGCTAATAAAAAAAAATGGAGCCTAATTGCGCCCAAAAGGGACAATGTAACTAACTTAAAGGGTAAAAACATAGCTCCATACGGTCACACGTAAAGATAATATACATACGTTAATAAGTGCATACTCTCAATATACAGCAATGTATATCTTTATAGAAAAAAGGAAAGAAAGGCAATATGTAATGTAAAGGTGGATATAGAGTTAAAGTTTCAAGGAAACACATACTTTATACACCTACTAAGGGTATCAGCAGGATGTGTAGAGAAAAAGAGGATATCTAATTGTACAATATAAAAGCAAATGCCAAAGATAAATATATAAAATACCTTACTTACACAATTCAGAAGACCTGCTCTGGAGGTATGGAGCTTTGCTGGTATAATCCCCATTTGGGATATGCAGGATGACAGGAAACCAGATGATAAATGAAAAATTTATATGGACTATATTAAGAAAAGTACTTTTATTAAAACAATACTATAAAAACCAAATAGGACTTAAAACAAATATGAATAAAAAACAGAATAATACCAGTCCAGATATAAAGCAGTATAGAAAAGTATACTCCATACCTACATATTATATAGACTACCTGAGCAGTATGTGTCCTTGGGCAAGACCAGGGCCATTTTTTATTCAAGCAGTGCCAAGATGTAAGAACAATATATGGACAGAAGTGGGGAGGGTATGAAGAGCCTGGCCTGGAGCTATCAAGACATGGTACCCTGTGGTCAACTCGACCTGATATTCTTTATGTCTAGAAGAGAAGCGTGGATCCTGTGGAACACCTATTCATATTTAATTTTTTCAGTTCTGGTATTTTGACCTTGAATGTTATATTTACTTTGAATTTGCCATGAATGCTCACTTTAGTCAATAACTCCGAATGTGTTGGTGGCCTATGGATGAGATTGAGGACCTTGTTCCAAAATACATGGATCAATGAGCATAAATATAAATAGGAAGTAACCGCGGGGTGGCCCGCATTGCCAACAATTGGGGGATAACTGGAGTCTGATGTGTTGGAGTCTAGAAGGCCCTAAGTACCATCTAAGATTTAATAGAAAGGGTAAAAAAAAGGAAAGAAGGTTGCGCCTTAAAAAAATGGAATATACCAAAAATAAAATAAGCAGAAGTAATATAAACAATAAAACAGGTATAGTTCACATACAATGGTATGTAAAAACCACCTGCTTGTAAGTATGCTGCCTTTTAAATATCTAATTTTTTCTGTGACCGTATCCCGCGCTGATCCTTCTGGGACAATTTACCATCTAAGATTTACAGATGATACTCGAAAAATTAGAATATCGTGCAAAAGTTAATTTATTTCAGTAATGCAACGTAAAAGGGGAAACTAATATATGATACAGACGAATTACATGCAAAGCAAGATAGTTCAAGCCGTGATTTGTCATAAGTGCGATGATTATGGCTTACAGCTCATGAAAACCCAAAATCCACAATCTCAGTTAATTAGAATATTGTGAAAAGGCGCAATATTCTAGGCTCACAGTATCCCGCTCTAATCAGCTAAGTAAACCATAACACTTGCAAATGGTTTCTGAGCCTTTTAATGGTCTCTCAGTCTGGTTCAGTAGGAATCACAATCATGGGGAAGACTGCTGACCTGACAGTTGTGCAGAAAACCATCACTGACAACCTCCATAAGGAGAGAAAGCCTCAAAAAGGTAATTGCGAAGGAAGTTGGATGTTCCCAAAGTGCTGTATCAAAGCACATTAATAGAAAGTTATGTGAAATGAAAAAGTGTGGAAGAAAAAGGTGCACAAGCAGCAGGGATGACCGCAGCCTGGAGAGGATTGTCAGGAAAAGGCCATTCAAAATTGTTGGGGACTGAGGCTGGAGTCAGTGCATCAAGAGCCACCACACACAGATGGATCCTGGACATGGGCTTCAGATGTTGTATGTTGTATTCCTCTTGTCAAGCCGCTCCTGAACAACAAACAAAAGTAGCAACTTATAAGTTCCATGACAGTCCCAGTAATTTTTCAAACAACTTTAAAATGTTTTGCAGAAAATTGGGGAATGATGACCAAAAACTCAAGGATTTGTAGCAGAGTCGTACCTAGGTATGGTATCCTGTGTGAAAATTTATTTTGGCACTCCCCCCTCCGAACTGTAGAATTTTTTTTTTTTGTCTCACTCTACCACTCTAACCCCTTTTTGTCAGTTCATATACCCACAGACATTCATGTACATAGATATTTGCTTTCACACATACTTACATTTATATACAAACACAGACACATATACACGGACACATGAAGTGATATACATACATATAGACTCATTCACAAAAGGATGGATAATATAAACATACACACACACACATATATATAGAGAGAGTCATATACACATATTCATATATACAAACGTTTATCTATACACACAGACTCAAGACAAACACTTAATTTTTATTTTCCTGTTTTTTTACCACTGTGAGGTCCACCCAGCCCCTCTTTTCTTACCTTGAAAGTCAGGTTGAGTGGTCTGTAGGTAGGTGCCTGCCCTGGTAGGAGCAGAATGCTCTTATGCCTCTCCCCTCAATCTCCCCAGTCTGTATTGATCATGGTTTATAGAACTAACATTTAAAGCAAAACTATCAACTTCCATGGAATTCTTGTGTCATTTAAATGATCTTTGGTTTTTTAACTCATCTAAAATCACTCTGCCATTATTATTATTAGTATTATTTATAAAGCACTGACAAGTTCCGCAGTGCTATAGAATGGATGGACTAACAGACATATTTATAACCAGACACATTGGACACACAGGCACAGAGGGAATTGAGGGCCCTGCTCAAATGAGCTTACATGGTAAAGGGAGAGGTTTTATGTGACACAAAAGGTAATGGTATGGTAGAAAAAAGTAGGGGCCTAGACATAACATATTTGCACATAAAGTAAGCGAGGATAGGTAGGTAGGAGTAGCGTTATGTAGAGATTTGTAAGCAAATACCAGAATTTTAAATTGAGCCCTATATCTGATGGGAAGCCAATGTGACAGAGGGGGGAGGCATGTGAGGTGCTTGCTGACAGGAAGATGAACCTCTCAGCTGCATTCATTATACTAATGGGGCAAGTTGGGAACACGTAAGACCACTGAAAAGCCGAGACGAGAGGACCGGAGAGAGCAGAAGCTTCTGAGCATAAATGAGCATAATGAGCATAAAACAGCAGAGTGAGTGGGGATGGGAGAAGTACTGGGGAAAGGAGAGAAATTAGATATTTCTTCCCCGATTGTAGAAATCTTCTCAGTGAAGTGAGTTGTGAAGTGCCTAGCGGTCAAGTTGGTAGGAGGAACAACAGGGTGCAGAGGAGAATTAAAACTCTGAAAGAGGCTTTTGCGTTCGTGAGAGAGCATGGTTATGAAGGTATCGAAGTGGTTTTCATTTGTAGAGGAAAGGGCAAAGCTGAATGAGTGTAGCATAAATTTATAGTGGAGAAGGTCAGATGCAGAATGAGACTTTCCAGCAGCGTTTAGCAGATCTGGAGCATTTTTGGAGATACTGGTCAGCTTGGTGTGCCAAGGTTGTAATTGGGGGTGCTTGCTACATTTAAATGTTGGAGGTGCCATGATATCTAGTTGAGATGAGAGGGTGAAATTGTAGAGGGACATTGTGGAGTTTATTGCAGGTCAGGTTTGAGATAGGTTCAAGAAGAGTATAGTGGTTGGTGGAGATGGAGGTTTCTGCAAGACCGATGTGCTGAGGGTGATATAATTTGGGTACTGCGTATGCCAATGTCAAAGGTCAGCAGATGGTGGCCATATAAAGGAAGTGGAGAGATTAGAGGTGGTACAGAGATTGGTGAAGATAATATCAAAGTAGGCATGCACATTTCAATGGTGCAGCAGGCTAAAGCAGTAGTCTTTGGTT